CAACTTCTGGTGGAGTCTCTAAGCTTAAGATGGGGCTTGAACAAAGCACCAACTGAATGCTTCTTTGTTTTTTTTTTTAAAAAAAAAAAAATTGTTATTTTTTTATTTTTATTTTTTTTTGCCCTTGGTACCAGTCTTTCATTCTGGGTCTTTTCTGCACAACTCATAAAAGAAGGCTGTGAGCATTTTACGTTCTTACACAGGGATCATGTAACACTCTACAACTGCAAAGATCTCTACACCATGCTTACTATGCCTAAACAGTGAACTGATTAAGAAACATTTATTTGGTGCTGGAATGATTAATTAGTGTAGGCAGCAGGGAATTTATGTGGCACACAGTGGAAAGCACCTGTAGGAGGATCAGCCTCGTGGCTTGAAGCTCACTTGACTTGAAGGCTATTGTGCTGCACTTTGAAGATGCCATCTGCAGCAGGTGCTGGGGAATTGGCCAGCCAGCTCACATGGACACAAGTTGGCCTTTGTTTTTCTAGGCTCCCCTATTAGGCAAGTCACTTGTCTTGAAGCTTGATGGAGTCAATGATGGATGATAAACATCTACATTTTTTATTTGAAAAGAAAGAAGGAAATTAAAAAGGGGAATTAACAAGTATGTTGCTAGATCTAGAGACACCACTGAACTTCACATGAAGTCTCATTTTGTTTATCCATTATATTAATTTTTTTTTTGGGGATGGCTCACCAAGTGTGCCCCACATTATCAGATTACTACAAAGGGACAAGTTAGGGCTTATTTGCTTCTGCTCATGATGCCAACCTTCCAGGTTCCAAGGCCTATATAATGTGAGCTTGTCCCAAGGCATATGTCAGAAGCTTCATTCTAAACAATTTAAGTAACCCACATTAGCATGTTGCATATTAGATCAGCACACAACTGTGAAGGATTAATGATTGATTGATCATTAAACCAGCACTTTAACATGATTAAAATTGTGGTAGTTGTAGTAAGTTTGGAAACCTACAATTGTACTGTGGTGTATGGCAATTGAAGTAAAGGCAGTGAGCATTCCATTACAGCCCTAATCTCTACATTCACAGATCAATCAACAGAGCATGATCAGGGCTCAATAATATATGTAAACTGTTAATTGCCACTACCTAGGTATTCACCAAGGGTGCAATGATCAGCACCCAATGGCTGTAAGGTCCAGATGTTGGTCTGTTTAAGTACTACCTTTCTTTAATGCCCACAAGTCTTGCAAGTTAATGCTAATCGTGCTCAGTAGTCACATGTTAGCATGCTGCTCTTTTGATTGTTGAGTTTTTCATAATTCAAATTCACCATTGGATCCAAGACAAATCACAACGTGCTTTTAAATGTTTTGTACCACACATTGTGCTTGCAAACTGCAATACTATTGTTAAATATTTCCAAAACCCACCTGTACTAAACAAACTACCTTGTCAATACTTGGCTTCTGTTGGCTTTTTGACCCCATGGAGCTCGGTGCTGATGGCAATGGCTTCTCTCCCATCAGCTTCACTTGCTCAGTCCCAGAAAAAGAGCAGCCATCTCATCTTCCTCACATCAAAAAAAAGCTTTGCCAGTGCTGTAAGGGGAACAGCAAGAGAGATAAAGCAAGAGTCAGCATGACTTTGTCCCTCTTTTTATTTATTTATTTTTTCCTCTGTCCTACATGTCTCCATCAATGTCAGCATGCCAAGCAGGACAAACAGAACTGACCCATTTGGGGATAAAATAACAGAGCCTGTACAAGTAGAAAAGGAGTTGCATGGAGGAGTGCCGGATGCAAGGAAGCAGGGCTCTCTGAAGGGTTAAGTTAGTGGATGGTCGGATTAGGGTTAGAAGCTTTGGTGAGGCTAATGTCAGACCACCCACAGTCAGATAAATTAACAAAAACTGCGGTAGTTGCAGCATGGGCTCCACTATAAGGAAGAAACAAAGTGTGAAGATATGCAAATCTGCTCATTGTTGTTTATTTCAATGATTTATTGAATATTATGAATTAATTGATAAAAATTTAAACATCTACTTTGGCATTTCCAAATCAATGATCTGCAGATTAGGTCCAGTAGGGAATGAGCAAAGGCAAAATGTTGCTTTAAGTAGGTGAGGTCACTGGAAACTGAACTAGGGGCTCATTTAGACAAAATTCCTAATGGTTAAATCACCCACTCATAGCATTGTATGAGCAAGTAATTGCATTGTGTGCACTTTTCAGCTAATTCTTTATGTTTGCAAGTGGTTTGCAAATTATCATCTCAGTGTATGGAATTCAAGTGTACTATCTAATCATCAATTCTAATATATAATCTGGAGTATTGTTCACTGCTAGATTTACTGATTTACCGATTACAATCAGTACAGCTGGCAGTAATTAGTATTATATAATTTGATCGAATTATCTTCTCTACTAACTAATAATATCATTTATTTTATTTAGTTAAAGAAGAACCCAATTTTTTTTTTTTTTTTTTTTTTTTTTTACAGTAACATATAACACAACTGGTAATATATTTTTCAAAAAATCTAAATGCATTTTTAAGTATATCAAAGAATTAAAAAGGAAATATTATTAATGAAAATAATGGTAAACACAAAAACAAGTCTAAAGTCAGTTGGAATCTCATAAAATAATTGATCCATTAAAAAATGAATACAACTCTCTATGCTACAAACATATAATGAATTTTATTATAGCTTATAAAACAACAAAAGTAATAGGAAAAACTGATGTTTTAATTTAATCAAATAATAGCATGCACATTCTCAATCCTTACAACAATCCAATCAATATAAACCATGAATTTTGTCAGTATTAGTTAATTATCCATGTCAAGTATTATAAGTTCATGTCATTATATTATAGCTTTGAAAGATGATTATAGGCAGTTCAAATGAACTCCATGATGAAGTGTTTTTTGGAGCACATCCATGGAAATCCAATGGATAGTCTCTACACCTGGGAACCAAACCCTAAAACCTACCTTATGCACAAAGAAGCCACACAAACAAGGCAGACTGTTGTAGAAACCACACTTTACACAATTCTAAGTAATGGATAAATGTGAAAATTGCCTTCTTTTTCTTTTTTTTTTTAATTTTTTTATATGCACATGGAAAGGTTAGGATTCTGAGTTAGAATCAGAATCTGTGGTTCCCATCAGAGGTGAAAAGAGAGCAAAAATGTGTGTATATATATATATATATATATGTGTGTGTGTGTGTGTGTGTGCACATGGATGCATGCTAAAAGCTCAACTGTTTTTATATACAATACATTCTTTTCATAAATCAATTGGCGTAAATCCTCTGGTTTATTTCATTGCTTATTATCTAGAAAGTTTTCAAAGAAAACTAGACATTGCATTCAAACTTTTGCATCTTATGACTGTACTGTATGCTAAAACTTATGATAGAGGGAAAAAGAAAACAAAACAACACAATCTTATTGCAGTCAAACATCATCAAATGTTTGCACCAACAATATTTTATGGAATTACTCATCACATCATTTAAAGAAAAAGAAACAGATTAGTACAGAGGCCCATTTCAACAAATTTAGGTTTTTATTTTAGTTGATTCTTAAAAAAAAATTATGAGAATGTACATCTTATATTTGACAGCCTGAAAAAAATTGAAATGCATGTCTAAATTTATGATACGAAAATAATAGCCATTCTATACTAAATCATGCATAATTTAATGGATCATCTACTTCTAATGATCTGAATCAAAATAACATTACACGTAATTGTGAGGAAGCCTTATCTAGGTTTTACCTCTACATGGAATAAACAGAGTTAAAAATGAACAACGAATTATGTGTGTGTGTATATATATATATATATATATATATTCGTATCCACATGCACACACATAGGTATATTTTGTGTTGAACTTAGTGACCCAATGTTGCTACCTGTATTCCCAATTGGAACACTTTGCTCTATTAGTTAACTTTGATTAGTTACTTGAGGGTGCACTTTTCCAATAAATTCGAAAAAAGCAAGAAAAGTAGTGAGTAAATGCAGTCTAATGCTCCATACAGATTTAATTTATTAAGAAATAAATTTGCACACCAAGTTCAATATGAGTACACTGCAGAGAGTGTTTATCAACCGCTGTTTGTTAGTGATGATCGAGTCCCAGAGTCAAAATTCTGCTCTCCTGACATGCTACGATACCTCTGCATGTGTAAGTGTGATGATGCAGAATGAGTGCTCCTCCCTATTCCGTTTTGTGAAAAAAAAGATTCCCAACTCCCCACTCTTCCAAATTTTTACTTGGGCTCATGCCCAAATTAGGGTTTCTCACCACAAACCCTAAAACTTAAAATTGAGAGTTGGTAAAATGGATTGGTAAGTTGTTCTAACCTCAAGAGTCACATCATGCTTTGTCCTTGGTGGATAAAAAACTTTAAACTAAGAGCAAACCATATATATATATATATATATATAACCAAAACTTCTTAGCTAGTGGGGTGTGTGAATTTTAGGAAGTTGAGATGTATCTGAAGTCATCTTTGGATTGAACCTCTAGAGCTGTATATATTTTCATTTTCATATGCAGACAAACATTCATGTAACATGGTTCAAATGGTATACATAGAAGATTCAGTATGTTCACATTTTAAAGACCTGTTCACATATACACATATTCCAGTATATATACGCTCACGCATATAAATACAATACGGATAGAGATACGGACTACGTTGACCGGTTTGACTGGCCCTGACTCGCCACAACCGAGCCGCAAGAGAAAGACAACTGGCGCGCACTGATAGCCCGAGCAGCGGGTTCGGTCCCAGGCTGAAGCAGCGAGGTCTGCTGCTTTTTGACAGACTCGTGCTGTCGCAATTTGTTTTGTTTCACGTAGATATGGAGCTTCTGAACTGCCTGCGCCGATGACCGCGGCGGCAGCATGGGCCACTGTGAGCTGCGAATTGACCACGGGGCAGGTAATTGACAAGAGACAACATCGTGGAGCTGTAACTTCGAGCCTGCGTGGAGAGATTTGCAAGCAGTCATGGGGGGTCACCAGGGGAAGAAGAGCCTTACTGGTCTCAATCTGGACTCGTAGCCTCGTCGTCGCCCTTCGCAAACCCGAAGGTCTGTTCTTAATCTACTGGTTACATGGACCCGTCGACTCTGGTACAGAAGATCGAATACGAGCCAGAGAGCGGTTTGAATGCCAGAGTGCCACATTCTTCTGTACACACGAGCAGACTGGGGGAGACAAATGCCTCAGACAGTTGTATTGATTAACCCGTGAGGGCGCGGCAACGTTTACTGAGCACACCCAGATTGGCTCCGCGCTTGATTCTTCTTCCCTCCCCTTTGCGCTTTTGACGAGCTCCCTCGCTTTTTTTTTTCTGGGTGCGGTGGGTGTGCTTTGTCGCAGCTGGGTCCTTCTCCCTCCTGTCTCTAGGTGCTGAGTTCGTTATGGATTTGGAAGCCTCACCCTGCGCGTAGCATTTGAAGATTATGTCCATGGTGCTGGCAACCAATTGCTGGCTTCCACAAGGAGCTGCGAGGGTGATGTGTAGTGGGACTTTGCTGCAAAAGGAGTATTCTTGTGGCGTGTAGTTGGCTGGCTGTACCCATGCGTGCATGAGCTGGGACGAGTTCAGCTCGCGAGAGGAGGCATTAAGCTCAGAATTTCTGTGTTTCCTGTGGAATTGGTGTGGTAGATGATAGTAATGTGAGAGTGAGGTGATGCGTTTACGGTGTTGGTAACGTGGTGGAGCTGGATGGCATTGGAGATATCATGGGGGTTGAATGCAGGGCTGAGGTTCTGTTGTCGATTAGCTTCATTTTTCAAAAATGGGGAGCAACGAGAGGTCTGAAAGACGAAATTAACCACCTCTGTTGAGCAGTTTCGGAGGTCCAGACGAGATGAACGCGTGGTTTATGGGGTGTGATTCTCCTGCGACCTGCACAATCCATTCTACTGTAGAAAGGAACCGAAAATCATATCCAGCGGCTCAAGTACATAGCTCATGCGTGGGGATGGTGGCTTCTGTTATCGCTGCTGGCCAACATTGTTGAATCCAGCGTTAATATCATACCCCCGGAGTAGAACTTCCAGTTTTACGAAGACTACTCAACCGCCGTCCCAATGATTGTTCTTGTGCATTAAACCGTTCTCTACATAATCAATGCGGTCCCGGATTTGCACGCACATCTCTCAATGCAGCAGGTCTCGACATACCATAAGGTACTGATAAAACTTAGCTAACAAACTCTTTCAGTATCTATGCTCTCAAACTTGTTTCTCGTCAGATCTGGACTGGCGACGGCGCCTACAATGCTACGTTGCATCCGTCAAGCCTTGTAACTCGTCGTCCTCCTCCGAGTCACAACTGCAACCGTTGAAAGAGAGTGTAAGCCATGACGGGAGATTACGACAAAGCCGAATACAATCTGGTGATTAATGGCAGGGGCCAATATGCAGTGTAGGCTTTTAGCTGCTGTTCAATTTTGCCCATTATCATAGTTTGACACACTGAAGGCAGAGCATCGTGCTCGTTCTCTGGTTGCCCTTCCAATCCTGATATTATACGCTCTGGCAACCATTCTCTCATGTTCTGGACAGACTTTCTTCTGGTCAGTCCGCGATAGTAAAAGTTCCATCTGGAAACACACTCCTCAGCACAGACCACCAAAGCAGTCTAGAAAATAACACTTACGTAGTTTTTGAAAAACTACCTTTATGTCCTCGAATATAATAGCTCTTTGCAAGGATTCTTGAGAGTAAATGTTTCGTGATAGAGGGTCGTGATGAATTTACACCCGGCGATACAAAATCGTTTTACTGCATTGTGAGCAGGGCTGCTAATCCTGGTCTTTGGTGATCGTTGTTGCCGAGACAGGTTGCAAGGGGACTCTCAAATCAGTGTTCAGCGTTTAAGATTCCAAATAATAGTCTGGCTTATGCAGTCAAACACTGCATTGCGCTCAGCTGTGAAAGTTGGAGACCTCGGTGGCAACATTTCAGGTATTCTTCGTTTGCCCTTCCACGTAAACACCAGCATGGCGAGTCCTACGATTATTCTTTCACCAAACCCTGAAACAAGCACAGATTCAAGAGACATCAAAGGGTGGCTCGCGACATCTTTATCATGCATAGACCTAGAAATATTGTCTGAATTTGTGAGCATCTGAGAGGAGAGTTGCCCTGAACAGCAGCGTCAATGCTCGTATTTTTGCAATAACAGATGCAATCGTGTTATTGCAGACAATTACAGTAGCGCACGCAGACCATATATTGTTGCGAGGAAGTACTAGATTTTGGGGCACATCCTCAAGTTCGAACTTGTTCAAACTTGTAGAGAGATTATCTGAAATGGAAAAAAGTGACTACTCCGAAGTAAAGGAGCTCATTACAAGCAATTCCAACTGCCCGACTAATTCTCCTTTTGACGGTGAAAACTCAGTCGTCTGCGGCTCAGCACAGGATGAAGCATTTCCGAAGGTAAGACACGGGAGCAAGTCGCATTGAAAGGCTTCTTGTTACATTCTAGTTCGCTCATTCTTTCAATCCTACTGACTAGCAGACTGACCTGTATGCTAATTACCTCAGGGTGGGCATCTCCGAAGCTTCAGAAAAATTGGAGCAGAAGTTGGAAACAGGAACGACCTTAAAGGTATATTAAACGCACATTTTTTTTTTTTTTTTTTTTTTGCTTCAAATGATTTGTTGTGGTCGTTATTTTTTTACTGAAGAAGAAGGGAAAGCACGGAAATGACTGAGTTGATCCACTTGTGAGGCGAAACTTGAGAGAGTTCGCTGCAATCTTTGATTCAATATGATTCTTGCAGCTGCATTTACCAATCAGCGTTCTGAAAAAGACCCACGTGGGTGGGCGATGGTGCACGATGTTGGCCATGGCCTCCATTTCTCAGAAGCAGTCGCCGATATGGCCTTCGTAACCAAGAATGCACTAGCATTGCGTGATGCACACTCAAAGGAATCTCTAACAGCCCCCTTCAAATCCATCCAATCTACATCAATTGATAAGTTGAGTGCGGATGAATCAAGGGCAAATTCTCAAAACGGGACCTTATTTACAGCTCGAGTAGCCACGCAGATGCCGTCTGGTAATATGACAAGCCATGGACCCATTAACGCCTTTAGCTTCACTTCCAGCCGCGGTGTGAAAGCTGCCACCGAAGCTGAGCCATGCAACGATGACGGCAACTTTGACAAGGACAGCAAGGTGAGCTTTGAAATCAACCGGGCTGCTGCAAATCGATCAGTGGTCGGCCCTCTCACCAAGTCCACTCCATCAAAGTGGGATGATGCTGAGAAATGGCTGTCCTCTGGTGAAGCGGTACCTGCAAAAGTAAGGTCTAAGATTTCTCCTCTTTCTGCTCTATCTCAGACTGGAGCTCAAGTGATCCCTGGGAGGAAAAGTAATGCAAATCCCAATCCAGAAGTAGATGGGCTCGATGAAATAAACGGAGTTGATGACTCCTCCGGGGAGAATTGCTTCGATAGAGGTGACATGTCATTGGAAAAGTGCAATACATTCCAATCGGATTGTACGAAGAAGAAGGAAGTACCACGATTCGCCTTCATGCCAGCAGGAAAGCCTTTGCCATTGCCGCCACCGTCGGCAACAGTGGATCGGTATCCGCTGGAGGAAGTCTTTCGGTGTGACGACAGCAGTGCGAGAGCTCCTAATGAGCCATACTCGTATCATAATGTGAAACCAACTGATCTCATCGGTGCGCCATTTCTTCACCTTTCTTGTGCAAAATGCTCCTTTAACCCTGTTCATGAAGCTACATCTTGTTAACCACTGTGGACTTTAAAGCACAATCTCCATGACCACCGGGGACTCCTGAAATTCATTTCTCAAACAAGACTTATGATAAGTGTAAAAAAGAAATTTATGGCCACACTGTGTTTGTAAACCTGGGTTTTAATACTACAACTTCGATAGGTTTAGAAGCTTACTTACACTTCGTTGTTCTGAGGTACTGATAGGAAGACGTGTCATTTTTTACAATCGCAGAGACTCATGGAAAGATAGTAGGAAAGATCGACGGAACGAATGATCCAAGCGCGCTACCAAACTCAACCGACACATCTGTTTTTGCCGAATCAGATGTAATCAACATGCGAACAGTCTGTATGCGTGACATGGGCACCGAAATGACCCCCATAGCGAGTGTAGAGCCATCCTGCACTGCCACTCCGTTAATGGCAACTACGCCAAACCTTGGAAGTCCTGCAAATTCGCGACCTTCATCCCCAGGGAGGAAGAAAAATAGCACACCTGCAAGCACCAGCTCCACAGCCAGCAAGGCTGCTCCCAAGTCCACTGAGACAAATCCTATTTTGTCTGAGAGAGACAAAACTAGAGCGGAGATTCTGGCCTTAGGTACTCAACTGGGTAAGGCGAACATTGCAGCGTGGGCGACAAAAGAGGAAGAAGAGGCTGATGCTGCTCAAGCTCTCAAGGAAAATCTGGAGATACAGGAAGTGCGCAAGAATTTGTTGGCTAGTCGAGCTGCTGCATGGGAAGAGGCGGAACATGCAAAATTGATTGCCAGGTAATTCTTGTTTACCACCAGCTTCAAGTTTCTAATAGAACATGACGTATCCCTTTCATTAACGACACTGCTACAGTGGAAATTACTTGCAGGTAAAGTCTAAGATTTGTCAACATCTTAACAAAGAATAATCCTAATCTTACTAACTTGTTATGTGCAGATTCAAGCGTGAGGAAGCCAAGATTCAAGCATGGGAAAACCATGAGAAAGCGAAAGCTGAGGCTGAAATGCGCAGAGTGGAGGTTCGTCTCATGTCCTTGCTTCTGCTTACCTCCGTCAGGATCCAGCTCTTCGTCTCAACTTCTCGATTTATAATTGTTAATTTCACAGAAATGTGGTAACGTCGTAAACGCCTAAGCGAGCTGTCTAGGCTACTCTGACAAATAGTATAAATATTGCTGTTATTATACATGTCACTGGCAAGTAGAGAGTGAATGTCTTGTTCGATTCAAGGGTGCCCTAGCAGGAGTTGGACAGAAATTACCAATGTCGAAATACGTCGTGAGGGCATGATTGCAATATGTACATCAGGTTGCTGAACTGATTGGATGAGAAATCTGACCAGGTGAAGGTGGAAAGAATGCGATCTCATGCACATGAAAGGCTGATGAACAAGCTGGCAGCAGCCAGGCGACGTGCCGAGGATCTCCGTGCAAAGGCTGAGGCCCTTCGGTGCGAGCAAGCAGCTAAGACAGCCACAAGGTCTGAGCACATTCGCCGCACGGGAAAAATTCCAACAGCTTTCTCCAGCCACTTCTGTGGGTAAGATTTAAATTCTCAATCGATGCCAGCGTACTTGGTCCAGAATCAGCTCCAAAGATCACCACGGAAGACAGCTGCACATCATACATCGATATCATCAAATTAGTATTCTGATCATTAAGCATGGTTTGCTGCAGTCTTATCTGACATGGCTTGAGTTAGTCCCTCTGTTGGAACTATGATTCAACGGATGAATACACACCCGATATCAGAACCGGGTTTCTTAGGGTCATGTGACCCTTGCTCACTTCAATTGTTGAAAAGCTGGAATTTCTCCGCTTCCCTGGTAAAATTGTTTCCTGATTAGACAACTGGCCATCGGATTCACTTTCTGGTGGAGCTTGTCTGTAAACCAGAAACACAGTGAGCCCGGACAGCATCAAGTTAGAATGAGAGTCACCCAGATTTATTTATTTTTAATTTATTTTTTTGTGTTTTACTTTTGTATGCTTGTTTTCACCTTTCCTTTTTCTTTTGAATTTTTGAACATTCACTGTTTCTGCTCTACATAGATCCGATTGGTAAATCTTGAAAATTTGAGTGACACAGAACAAGGACCACTGTGCAAATTAGGTCTACAGTAGTTAAGTCAATAACCGAGTCGATGTTGTAACTACAGCTGAAAGCAGGAAGGTAGTGTTACTTGCAATATCCCTGAAGCTAGAGCCGTGAAAATATCGCACTTTGCGGGTGATGACGGCAATAGCACAGAGATAGAATCAGCATCACAACATTTTTGTGTGCATAATTTTTATTCGAGATAATCTGATGTATTCTTCGTATTCTTCAATCTGCACCACGTCCAGTGATTTCCAATATTGAACGTTCACACATGAATTGTAATGATCCAAAGTGTTGGTGATGTCAACAGAATTCGTCAGATCACAACGTCCAACCTAGAAACCTGTTCACGACTTGAAGATGACGCATCTCACTGCTAACACGTATCAAACGTAATCTTTAGTACAACCGCCTTACAGGACCGTTGCGAAAAGAATTATTCTACAGTAAAGTGTTACAAGTTCCAGAAATTTAGCTCTCACAGAGGAGATATGTTCCCTATATGTCATCAATTTGTCTCCTGATATATTTTGCAAGGAGAAACCAGCTGCAAGAAAATGCTTACTGCTTTCATGACAAATCCTACTCATTCCTCACATACCCTACGGTAACTAAGTCGATGCTAGTGCAGGTACAGTGCTATGATCAATTCAGGGTATGTCAACTGGCATATTCTACTAAAGCCCAAGTTAAAAATATTTGGCTTCTTTTCCGAAAGGCATACGAGCTGATAACACCCACCTTGTTCCAGGAAGGAAATGCAAGAAAGCAATCACAGTAAATTACAATTGTGCGTATGATGAGCAAGGTATGCATCCTGCCATTATTTCTATGGTAAGCACGCAGAAATTTGCGAAATTCAAAAAGCTCTAATTTCATGGCTCTGGCGAATGATTCGTCGACGGGAACAGTAATCTCGCCATCGACTTAAAGCTATCCACCACCACAGGCACCAGCACCTTGTGTATGATGGTATACTCTGCTGCCGCAGCACAGGACTCACACCAACACAGCTCATGTGGCAAACCCTACAACGTCTCTAATTAATGCAAAATCCCTGTGGCATTCAAGAACCTGCCGCTTCCCAAATGCTGTCACCAATCCAGTGACCGTCAAGGAGGGACATCAACGCGCGAAAGCAGAAAGGCCTTTGGTCCATGAATTGTCTAACCAGTTGTGCGTCTTCGTGGACCTCTTCAAAACAAGTCGCTGGAAGAATGAGACCTGCATATGCTACGCAGGGATATGTCCCGCTAGCTCTCACACTGCTCCTAATCTCCTCATCCTGTTGCAGATCCCGACTATACACCCATCTAATTTTTTTCCACAGCGATCAGAAAGTATCCGAAACAATCACGATCCATCCCACCATAACGCTCAACAAGACTGTAACAAAGGCTACAACTCTTTGAAGATTTCTGCAAGGTATCGTTTGCAGCAGTCATGCTTGCCAAAGAAGCCACAATTCATTCTCATCCTGAGCACCGACTCTCGATGAATTCCCTGCGGAACGGAAGAAGATGTGACGCTCAAATGATAATTCGGAGTCTTCGAAGGGAGCCCCGAGGATTGTGTGAGAGACAAGTCCGCCGACGCCAACGAGGCTTGCGGCCCGATTTTGAATTTTCGTGATTCCCGAGGTGTCGTGGGCTGGCGCAGGTGGCTTTGAATTAACGCCAACACGATTTGTAAGAACTGACTCTGTGCATTGCCACTCTCGATCAACGTAGAATAACAACTTTTTTTGTAACATGATGACTTGCAATTGAGGGTGTTTCAATTGTAGCTTAAAACCTTCTGTTTGCCTATACTAAATCTTCTTCATAACTTCTACATTAGTATCACTATAGTAATAAATTTCTATAAGAAGCTTCTTGAACCACATGTTGGGTGTGGAAACATCTGTAAATTTAGATATTTTTTGAAGAAAATATGACATATGTGACACATTTCTACTTACTTCTATTTAATTCTATTTATATAAGTAAAATAAGTGTCTATAAACATCTTAAATGTGAACATCTTAATTACATCTTATTTGAACATCTTATAAGTAATCAAGTTTCTATATATACATGCATAAAGTGAGGCCAAAGATATAAAATTGTTTAATTTATTTGTCAATGTTTTCAAACTTTACAAGTAAGACATACAAGATTTTAAGGTCCTCAAATCCATTTTTCAATTATATTCAATTTAAGCACTATATTAAGTGTAGCCAAAGATGTAAAGGTGCCTAATCTATTTGATAATAATATCAAATTAGGTTACTAAAAAAATGATGGAATTAAAGATACAAACTTGCTTAATCTATTATGCAAAGATTTTAAGCTTAAGTATTACAATACATGTAATATAGTCAAAGATGTAAGGTTTTCTAATCTATTTAGAAATAATATTAAATTAAATACATAGTATATTTGTTAAAAACAAAGATGTAAAATTTGCCAACTTTATTTAATAATACTATTAAGCTTTAGCATCAAGACATATAAAATTAAATCAAAAATATATAATTCTTTAGTCTACAAGATGATAATGCTACATTTAAACACTATAATATACCAAATATAGATAAAGATATAAGATTGTTTAATTCATTTAGTAATAATATTTGATTGGAGCACCAAGATATATCAAGTGTAGTCAAAGTTATAAGGTTTTTAGTTCATTTGGCAATGACATCAAACTTGAGAATATATGTATATCAAGTATAGTCAAAGATATATGGTTGCATAATTCATTCAGCAATGATTCCAAGCTTAAACACAAAAATATATCAAGTATAGAGAAAGATGTAAGGTTACCTATTGTCATGGATATATTTACTCTAATAGTTATTTAGATAACATGCACAAGTAGAAATAGATAAAAATAGTTTAATTTGATAATATCTTATAAAAAAACTTCTTAGAAACTTCATAGACATGTTTTTATCTTTATACATGTCTATAGGTGATTAATAGGTTAGAAACTTGGCCAACAAGTTAGCCATGTGTCACACGTGTTAATAGCTTGTGGAACAAGCTAACTATCTAGCGTATATATAAGAAACTTGTCTTGTAAGTTAAACATATGTCTTGCAAATTAGACATGTGTTGGAGGTTCTATAGAATGTCATTGTGTAGCTCTTAGATAGATAGTATATATGAAGGTAAGAGTGAAGTCGTCATCACTCTTATCAATTCTTTTCTTACTTCCAATCTAATTTCAAGACTCTCTAGCTTTCTAATTTTTGGTAATAGCCATTCTAGTTTTTTATTAAATATATTTATTTTCTTATTTTTATTTTTTCAGCTCTCTTTAATTTATTTCTCACTTTTTTATGTATTTTCTTTAAGATCTTATTCTTGGCACCTACTTCAATTAGCAATGACATTAAGCTCAAACACTTATGTATATTTAATTGTTTTAAAATAGTGATTCCTCCTAAGAATTTTGATAATACTTTCAAATCTAAACGACTTTCAATATTGAGGTTTATTAATGAGAATATATTTTGCATTTTATTTGGTAATATAAGTAAGTTTGTACATCCTTTTGTGTCAAGTTTTGATAATGTAGAAATTTTGTAAATAGATTTGTTTTTTGTTTTTTGTTTGTTTGTTTGTTTGTTTGTTTGTTTGTTTTTTCAGAAAATCACAAATTTTCAACTATAAGATATTCAAATTTTTATAATTTGTCCAAATCTCACTTTTATTTAGCATTTTTTGTACTTTTTTTAAATAGATTTTTGTGTAATTGGCTTAAATTTGATATATTTAATAAAAGATGTTTTAATTTAAAACAATTTTTTATCAATATAATTAAAGTGTTAATTGACTCATTAAAATCACCAAGTATTTTTGCACCAATATCATAGTTCAAAAATCCAATAGAAGTAAAAACATTACTTTCAACTTTATTAAGTATATTGTTATTTTGATTGTTGTAAAGTACTTCTTTCAACTACTTAACAACACCATACAAATAAATAAATTAAAATTAAAATTATCATGTTTTAAAAATATTAGATATATAAAAAATATTTAAAATATATCAATGCAACAAAATAAACATATTTAATATAATATTATCTAATTAATATCAAAAATATAATATTTTATCTTTTAATATTTTTTAATTTTAATTTTTTATTCTTATAAATATCATTTAAATAAGATCAATATATAATATCTCATTTAATAATTTATAAATTGGTTATATATTCATGTTTCAAATTTCTGCATCTTTGTATTCTACTTCAACTTCAACAATCATACAACCCATATCTTATAATTGATCATGCATTCTTAAAACTTCTTTATTATCTATCATTAGCAATGACTTTTAAATCAATATGTGAGTCACTATGTTGATTGAGTTGTTGTTTTAGAACAATAGAATATACTAAGAGTGCTAACATTGCAATTATTAGTTGAAGTTTAGTCTAATGAATTAGATATAGGTAAAATAGTGTTAATGGAGAAAATATAGTTAGCATAAAAAAATCTAGTAGAAATTCTCATGTAGAAGGCATCAATTGGACATCCTTTTAGTATCTAAGAGTATTTAGAAGAAATCAAAAATATTTTAAGTTTCTAGTATATACGATATATATACATCCATCTTTGATATGAGCTACAATGTATAGGATATAATATGTATGCAGAATTAATACGATTTAAAATTATACGGGATACGATATTGACACCATATTGGTGTTATATTGATTTGGTGTATATGATATAGTATAGTATATTATGTACATGGTACGATATTGTATACGAGCACGGATATTTATGGCTAGATCATGCGTATTCGAGTATCAATCTTCCCGGGTGTCAAAGCCGGGTATCGAGCCTTCGTATCGGGGTGGACGAGGCTAGCCCTCAAATTTAAGAGGAGGGTGTCAGCAGGGGACTGGGATAGCCCTAGACCCCACTCTCTCTTCGTTTTTTTTTCTGCTTCTTCATCCGGTTGGAGCTCCGTTTTTGGCAGCATGCTCCTCATTGATTGTGTGCTGCGGTCATTGATTGTGTGCTGCGGTCGAGGCTGGTGGCTGCAGAAGCTCTTGTTGTCAACGGATTTGCTTCAGGTTATCCTCACGGCTATGTTCTCGTGGGCTAGAGGAAGCTGGTATTGGCAGTCTAACTCTAAACCAAGTTTTTTTGTTCTTTGTTCTATGGCGGCGGTGCTGTCATGACTTGGATCATGTTTTGTTCTTCTTGTAGTGCTCGGATTTTTGCGGCGTCGGCGATTCTGGCATACGGGCCCTAGTTGTCTACTTCCTTGTTGTTTGTGGCGATTTTGTTCGAAGGATGTTGTATTCAGGCTATCGAGACCCTCATTGGTTCTTCTCCAAAATCTGATCCTTGAGGGGCTCTAAAAGATTGCTGTACGAGATGCGATGGTTCTCTGGTGGAAGCGTGACTGCCTTCAATCGATGGTGCTTTTAGTGTTGTGCCTTATCAAATTGGGGTCCTCCTTTAGTGGCAAATTGCAGAGCGACCTATTGTTGAAGTGGTTTTATTTCTTTTGTTGGGAGTGTCCCCCGATTCATCACCGATTTGAGGCGCATGTGTTGGCATTGCAGCGGATCAAGGGTGCATATCATTGATGTAGAAGCAAGTGGCGCTAGTGTTTCCTTCCTTTCCTTTCACGTGGTTCTGCATTCAAATCGAGTTTTATCTAGTGCGGTGTTTTGCTACATTGCCGGCGCTATTTGCAGAGTAGTTGATCTTTAGCTGAGAGGGGGTTTTGATCTTCCAAGAAGATTTTGCGCCCTTCTTGCAATTCCTTCGACTGAGCTACAACCTGACTCATATTCAGGCCTAGCAACGCTTTTGATGACCTCCTGGTCAACAATGCTAGAGCCCAGAAACAATGACTTTACCAAGAACTAGTCTTGAATCTTGTGCTCCTTCATCGTCAATTGAACAACCCTCAAGCTTGGACAATTAAGATTTGCATAAGTTATTGTTGCAGTAGCATCCACAGATTGGTCTGCAACCATAGGTTTATCGGGTGAGTAAGACAACATTGGCAGTGCAGGCTAACTCTCTGGAACTTATGATGTTCATGGTTGATTCATCTAGTGGAACCGTGGTATTGAGGTCACATTTTCATCAACACCCGATTCATGAGAATTGTCGGTTCCTCATGACTATTGTTGACACAAGGGTTTGCGTAGCTGTAAAGAGTAGGTAAATAGAGTAGTTGTTTTAACAACAAGACTGAGAGTGGAACTGCAACAAATTTGAAGATCAGTTTTGGCGTCAACCTCCTTATATGTGGATACTTGAGCAGGTGCACAGAAGTGAAGGGTTGCTGATCTGCGAAGCTTGGCTACTGCTAGAAGAGAGGCAATCAAAAGCAGATAGGATTTCCAATAGAAGCAATTGTCCAAGGGCGGTCAAGGGCTCTTGTCAACAACCATCACCTTTACTTCAGAATTTTCCAGATCATATTGTATAGAAAACAATCATCTTGTATATGTTGAATAATTCTGGAATTGATAAACCATCTCAAATTGGATGAAAATTTGTTTGGATAGACAAGTGTATTAGATGAAGTTAGATAAATGCAGATGAAATCTTGAATTGGATGAGAATCTTTGGATGATAAGTTATGTTTGGATGATTTTTTATTTATTAGATAATAAAATAAAATAAAATCACATAAAAATAAACTCATATAAAATTTTCTTTTTTAAAACGTGTGGATTTTAAAGTATTTTAGATTGCATGTATTGTTGCTGTGGATGTGTAAGTGGAAGTGAACTAATTAGAGAACTTAAGGATCTTTTAATAAGAAGTGAAAAGACATTTTGTTTAATCAAATCACAATTTAATCAATAGTTGTGAATTAGAACAAACCACCTACTAGAGGGATTTATTTAGATCAAAATTAGAGAGTTCTTGGAATTGTTGGACACAAGTTAAACAATAACCATAAAATAATAGAATTATTAGATAATTTAAATTGTAGTGAATTAGGTAGATTTCCAACTAGTGGGGGTTTATTTTAGTTCACACAATGTATCTAATATAATGCCCATATCTTCTTCCAATTTTTTTCTTTGTTTTCAGTCTATATTTGTAATGTCCTTTCTTTCAACATGTCTTGTGGATATATATATATATATATATATATATATTGTGGACATATATATATAGAACTAAATATTTTAAGTACGTTGTTCAAAAGTAGAGTTTTTATATTAGATTTTTTATATTTTATATTTTATATTTTTTTTGATAAATTGTAAGAAATATATGTAAAAAAAATTGTGTATATATATAGAGAGTTATTTTTTTCTGGATCTTGATGTAGATAGTACATGCTTGAAACTTATACTAATTCCATGCCATATTAGTCAATTTGTATGATTTGATAGATTATTATTGAAGGATTTATGAAATCAAGAATGATATTACTTTTGAGAATACTTGTTTATTTTAATTTCAAAATAATAACTAAGAATACAAACTTGTATTTAAGTCCTGTAAAACATCTTTTCTAACTATGTGTGTTCATTTGTTATAAAAAAGAAGCGATAATATTTAATTAAAATATACTTTTTTGGTAACTTTTTGGAAAATTAGAAATAGTGGTAATTTAGAATATTGCAGTTTTTTTTGAAGTTGTTTACACTAAAAAGAAGAGACATTGGTTTCTTTTTTTTACAAGAATTAAAATATCTATATAAAATTTTCATGAATGTTTTAAAATATTGGGATAAATAAAGAATCTTTCAGTTTTTTGATATCAATAATAAAATCAATTATGATGTAATAATAAATTTGGATATAATTGCAAAGATGAATAAAATATATAGAAAAGATAGTCCTTAACTTTGCAATAATAAATTTGTGTGTCATTCAATTATAATATGAATCAAGTTATTATTTTTAATACTATTGAATCACATAAATCCAATTTAAAATATACACAAGTCTATTATTTTGAAGATTTAAAAAATAACAATAACAAGAATCACCAATTTTCATTTTAGTTTATTCATTTTTAAATTTCATGGTAGACAATTATTATTTTTCAGTGGCTAAGAACAACTTTTTTGTCTCCACACATTATTGTTTCGAACGGGACAACGTTTTTCATCCGTATATTCATCCATCACGATGAATGTGGAATGTTCCTGAACTGGTCGTACGTGACGGAGGTAGTGAGGTCGCCGACCAGTGGTCGGAAAATCCAGTCTCCACCTGATTTATTCGTGAATAGGTATTTTGTTCAGGTTTTGGATTTAGTTGAGTGCTTCGTTGTTTTCGTAGCATTATGCGTTTATCTCGGTAACACGAGATGATCGGTGTCTTCCGCGAGAAGGAATGCTGAAATGGTTTTCTATCTGCACGCAGAAGCACCTCGCGCTGTGGAGTCAGCATTGCGGGATAAGCGCTTGGACGGACTTGAGATGGATAAATCGCCGGATGCGATTCGTCCCTTTTGCATCCGCGAGGTCCCGCTGCCGTTTGGACGCTAGGTCCACAGAGAAGCAGACTTGCCATCCATGGGATGGTTGTCAGATTTTCTAATTGGTTGCCGTTGCTGCATCTCCATGAGTGGCCACGTATGGTCCCCCTTCAAACTGAGATTCACCACCATTAGAAACTGAGAGATTCCTCTCGCAGATCGCTTATGGACCACTTGAGGAGATTTTGATACGCAGCTTGCGCTTGTGGCTGTGTTGACGTTCATCGTGTGTCAGAATAAGCTTTAATGGAGCTCTCTACATCTATGAATCCGTGGTGTCTTAGAGCCTGAAATCTACTGAATTATTTGTAGGTGAAGTGCTTATGTTGTGAGATACTCTTGGAGTGTTTGTTTGTGTGCGTTGCTGTTGTTAGAGTATACGCTCGCATGACGGCAATTGTAGCGCCCTTGATGTTTCTACAGCCGACCAAGCTCTTGCGTGGAGAACGGAAGACGTACCAATGTCTGCCAATTTGGCTCGCTCTAGGAGGGGGAGTCAGCTTTGCTTGATTCGGGCCACTGTTGGAGCATGTGCGTCTCGTTCACAACCTACTTCCCTCCCGTCTTACTTTCTTCTTTCCTCTCAAAGCAATTAGCACCTGGAAAACGGAAGGATTTGTATTCAGTTCTCAAACTTGTCTTTCATGTTACTACAAGTCAGTCTCTGTGATCAGTTACTACATGTGCAAGGGCTCTCGGTTATCTGGTTGAGAAAATCAGGAGCAATGCTTCCGACCATTCTTTCTTGTGAGAGCCCGTGGGCATACTTTCTCGTGTAGGGGAAATTGTGATTCAAGTATCAAGATGGATACATGTTTTCAATCTGTAGTAACTGAATATGTGTATGCAGAGTGAGGAGTATTGTTTAGACGAGTTAAAGAAAAATGGCAGCACAAGCAATGATGCGCAAAGCTGCGCCATGCGCAATGCGACAGTTAAAATGCATCACAGTGGACGTTACTGGCACCTTGATAGCATACAAGGGGCTTCTGGGAGATTACTACTGTAAAGCTGCCAAAGCCGTGGGCGTCCCTTGCCCCGATTATGATCAAATGCACGAGGGCTTTAAGGTTGCGTACACGGAAATGGCCTCAAAGTATCCATGTTTTGGCCAGGCCACCAAGATGTCTAATAGAGATTGGTGGCGGACGTGCGTTCGAAACTCTTTCCGCGAGGTATCTCACCCTGACGCCCAGAAATGGATCAACTTTCAGAATCAAAGCTTGTAGTAAATCCAAAGTCTTGTTTCATGGCCACCGAGATGTATCATCCTGTTCATTTCGGCTAGGATTTCTCACTGTTTGTGGCTAATAAGATATGTCTGTTTGGTGCAGGCTGGCTATGACTACAGTAATGAAATCTTCGACCATGTGTTCAAGAGAATCTATTCCATGTTTGGGTCCACTGCGCCATACATGATCTACTCCGATGCACAGCCTTTCTTGCGATGGGCGCGAAAGCAAGGGATTGTAGTAGGAGTGGTGAGCAATGCTGAGTACCGGTACCGTGACATCATATTGCCGACTCTAGGTCTCAATCAGGGTTCGGAATGGGACTTTGGATTGTTCTCAGGTATCGTCGGAATTGAGAAGCCCGACCCTAGAATTTTTGAGATTGCACTCAAGAAAGCTGGTGGAGTAGCCCCTGAGCATGCTCTACACATCGGAGACAGCCTTGTGAAGGACTATCTTCCTGCTCGAGAACTTGGCATGCACGCGATGCTACTTGACAGATTCAAATCCAAGGAAGCCCGCGTTGCAAGGGAGGCTGGTGTGCCTGTGTTTCCTGACCTCTCAGATGCACAAAACTTTATTATTTCGTGGCAAGAGCAAGTAAAACGTGCGTCAATGATTTAGCTATCTTAGTTGTTTCTTGCCACGTTCCTTCAGACCAAACAAGTTTGTATCATACAAGAACGGAATTTTAGTGTCTGCTTGGTAAAATGAAGGAATCACTTTTCAAGTCTAAGATGTGCAGACATGGGGTTGCGTGAGTCTTTTCTCCATCAAGCGGCCATGAAGAAGCATATCAAAAATTTTGGACGACTGTAAAGGGCTATTTCCAACCCTAGGATGAAGACACTTGGTCTCGTATTCAACATGTGTATTTACTGATTGTAAATGAGGTAATAAGTGACCTACTGTTCCGAGTTTCTTCTGAAATGTGTTGATCACGCGATGAGCGCTTCACAGCCTAATTGTGTGCTCTTCTGAGAGTTGCTCTGTTAGAGAAAAGTTTTCCAGGACAAGTGTCTGTGAAAGATCCTACCATGTTCAAGTAACGAATGTTGTCAAAACTTTGGATCTATTTACAGACCCGTGCTCTGAAACTGTCCATGCGTGTTGTGATTTTTCTATGTTAGCGTCTCTCGTCGGCATGTGCGTCCTGTTCGGAGATAACCAATCATTCACCAAGGATGGATTTTCCACTTGCACCGAAAGCGTGGTAACTTATTTTCAAATAATATCCCCCATATTTACTGCAATTGATAGTCTATTCAAGAAATTGTGCAGCTCTGACGGCTGTCTTTTTGAACAGATGGGAAGGAAGTTCCGAGTTTACTCACAAGCTTATTGTGGAGTCAAGGAAAACACCTTCACGACGAACTTTGACAGCCCTATGAGGGAGAAAAGCAGCACGTCACCTACTTTTAAACCATGTGCAATTGAGAATTCCTTCCACCCTCCACGAAATTGCACTCTGTTCCCATTACCGTTTACTCTAACGCTTAGTTTCACAACAACGAAATTAGACCCTGGCCCAAGAAGAAACACGCTCGCTTGAAATCTGTCGCCGTGCGCTCGCACGAAATGAGATGGCAATTCCTGACAGCATTACTCCGCAAATCAACACTTTATCAGCCCCATATGTGTTGAGTTGACAGGGTTAATAAGGTTTAGAATCACTATCGTTGTGCATACAATCCGAAAGTCTAAAATCAGGAACTGTACGACATACGCCCAGCTTGCAAATTGCAGATAGGATCTCATCTCCAACACAGGTAGCGGATTAATCTTACCAGCCGTAAGTCGTCTCCGGCACCTTTCTGGGGAACATTGATTCCTGTTAGCTTCTTCGTGAACTGTGGGTATCTGGAGTTCAAATTGATCGCAGAATTGAGTCCTAGTGAATTGTGGCAAATATCTTTTGACAGGAGAAGCGGATTTATTCCTTCGACGGATTTGATCTTCGCTCTCTCAGAATAGGTCCACTGCATCGGCTCCGCATTCAAGCAGTTTTCTACTGCGTTCAGGTTGATTCTACTAGGAGATAGTGAGCTCGTTTGGTTAGATGTAACCTCCGGCAGCGGAGGAGCTTCTGAGATTACAGAGGGGCTGTCAAGCTGACTTTCATGGTCTTTGCTGGACGAAATGAGGTTTCCGAACACCGCCTCCTCGTGTGGTTGGGCACAGAGAAGGACACGAAATCTTGACCTTGCTACCAGCTGGAAAATGATCCGGTCGCCCATCTGTAAGCAATTCTCCGTCACAAAGTATTTCCATCCATGAGCCATAAAAACGCTGACATTTAGTCGGCCATCCCTTCCAGCGCAGGTTCTCACTTTGAGCATCACACGCAGCGGACAGCCGTTGGGTCCTGTCAACGAGATCACTGAATGAAGCATATTGCCGTGTTTGTTGATGAATTCGATAGGAATTACCTTCATGCAGCATTGACACGCACTTGTTAGTCTATCTGAGCAGGTGCATAAACATGAAAGAGTTCAAAGGATCGAAGAGAGAAAAGTACAGGCAATACACAGACGATTGCGGGATCTCACCAGTCGGTCATTTCTCTCCGTCATCGCCCGTGTAATCGTCTTCACAAAACAAGGTGCGTCGGAATTCAGCACCATGGTTTGCACATCAATGTTGCTCAGCGGAGGTGAAGCTCCTGTTCTAGACATGATTTACTACATCTGTGTTATCACTCCATCCTATGCAAAAGTACGCAGATATAGCATTCCCACCTTCGCGTATTACTTTCGAAGCTGACTTTCAGGTTCGTCATGCTGGTGTAGCACGTCACAGCAAAAACAGATTAGATGTGTTTCTGAAGGTGCCATTAACTCTACCAACATGCGGCGTCATCACAGACCTTGCACGGAAATGTCGCACTCTGATGTTTTCGAGTCGGACATCATGATGAAAGTATGCTTTTCAACTTCCGGAGGAATTCAACTTTCCAGCAAAAAACTGCACTGATGTACATGTACTGAGACATAACCATGAATGAACATTAAATGTTACAGCTTGCCGAGAATATATTTCAGTGAAGAGTCTAATCTCTTGCAACAGAATAAACACAACTTTTGTGCCCTGTTCATTATGTTAATAGGAGCATCGCAATAATTTTACGAAATTGGGGTTGTTTTGTTCCCCTCGTCCTCTGTGCCTCACAAAACCTCATAGAATTCTAGGGTCTCACTACCATATTGAACTTTTTAGGTGCAAATCTATTAAGTCGTTATCAAGTGTGAATTACTTTATAGACGGGGCTGTCAGAGAATTGCCTAATATGAATGCAATTGCCAGTTCTCCTCACCATGCTCAGGTCTCGGGACTCCTTGCTAACAGAATAATAAGCCCATGGAATACTGGTTCCGTTAGCAAGCGCGCTTGCAGAAGTTTATCATCCTCGTCGCAGACACGTTCATTGTCCTCATTCGATGAAAATGTGAACAGCGGTGTTTGCGACTTTGACAACAACTATTAACTCAACCAGGAGCGACGTTTGTGTCATAGCGTGACTATTCCGGCATACATCTTTCAGGGGAATAACTAATTACAGTACTGTCGTGAGAACCAATGGTAATACATCACAACATGACTGGAAAGAAAAAAACATAAGTCAGATCATGGAGTCAGCTCCATTCATCACGGTGCTCAACGGACGAAAGTATTCGCACCAACTCTGGCCAAGCGCAGCAGTCTCTTGTATTCAGAAAGCCAAAGATTAATCAAGGCACAAACCGCTAGGACAATGGAAAGCCATCAATTCTCGCCTACTCTTTTTCCACTACCTATCTAAACAATAATTAGTATTTTGGTTTCTTGTTGATAAGCCATGGTCATTGGAAAAAACGAATTCAAAATCTTGAGGCAATTGTGACGAAAACGAGGGCAGCCACTGCTTAGGCTGTTAGTATAAAAATATGTATCCATTATGTCTATACATACTAAGTTTATACTTATCTAATCAGGGTTAGTAGACTTAATGAAGGATGGTGGTTGAGTGCCATCATCAATTGTATATGTATACATGGCTTTGCCACCTAAAATTATTTTTTACCTTCACAAACTACAATGAGGTACTTACATGGTATTAGAGGAGTTTTGATCCAAGGACAAGTTTTCTTTCTATTGAGCTTAGTTCCAAGAGTCAATATAAGACATAGAGGCCTTGTATATTAAAGGTTAATTTATGCTTAAAGTGAATATAAGCCAAGTTCCAAGAGTCAATATAAGAGATAGAGGCCTTGTATATTAAAGGTTAATTTATGCTTAAAGTGAATATAAGCCAAGGTATGAAGAAAGTGTGAGATTGTATTTACAAGAGCTTGGTGAATCAAGAAAGAAAAAATTACAAAGATTCTTACAAGAGTATCTTATTACAAGAGTAGCCGATTTATTTTCAAATGGGAGAAATAAATAGAGTTATTTGTGCATAAGAAATACTAGATGGTGTATCTAACAATGCAAAATAGAGAGATGTCATGACAAATGTCTTATTATACATCGATTTATTTAATGTAGTAGATCTTTAAGATCATATTATTAAGACAAAACTAGTAACAAAGGCTATAAAATTGAAATCTAAGAGGAGAGTATTACAACTTGTGTCTTTATCTACTAAAAATTTGAAGGAGACTTTGTAGATAAAAGCAAAGATGATCACGCCTCAAGTGTAGAATTGACACAAACTAGATTGCCGTCATACTTGCTCACTAATCCTATTGAGCTTAAAGAATACAAAAAAAACAAGATAAGGTGTTAGGAATTTGGAGATTATCATTGAGAGAACTTGTCAAGGAACAAATCATAAGCATATAAGATCCACTAAATGTATGGATCAATCTAAAACTTTATCTAATATAAAAATAGTGGTGGATAATATGATAGTATTGGATAAATGAAATAACTTGAAGATAAGAGAAGATATGATAATAATGACTTATCTTCACCACGTTAATCAATTGCTAAATTAACTACATAAAATCAATGAATATCCAAAAGAATCCATGATTATGTATAAGATTCTTTGTGGTCTATCCAAAAAGTTTGACATGTTTAGAACAATAGTTCAAAACAAAGAACATGTTTTGGAACTAAATGAGCTAATAGATATATTTGGATTTATTTTCTAAATACTAAAGATGAACCATAAATAAATTTAGAAATTTCTTTTGATATATAAAAAATCAATATAAACAACTACATAGTTTTTTAGAATAGATAAATGGAGAGAATTTATATCTAAAGAATTTAAAAAACTACTAATAAAAAAGATTAAAATTGAATTAATGGCTCTATTAGAATCTTATTAAAATGGACCCTTTAAAAGAAAGAATCAAATTTTTATTAAAAAAATTTACAAAATGATATTTACAATTAAATCATCAGATTTTTTCTAAACTAAAACCTTATTAACAACTACACAACTAACTAATATTTCTCTAATAAAAGCTAATAATTAAGTTACTCTACATAAAAAACTACTTGGTGTCAAACCATGTCTTGATGCAATTCAAATCTTTAATTGGATAATCTATGAAAGCTTGCTTTAAGCTTAGAAACATACCTTGTGTAAGAGTTTGTTTTTGTGCAAGCTAGTTCAAGTTTCTAATTATCTAATAATCTTCATATTCCTTGAAATAGGTCTTGCATGGTCCAAAGACACATTTATCTAGAGACTACATGGAATGGGATGTATAAGATAATAAGATTAGAATGGACAATTGTCATTTTTGTACTATTTTTGTCACTTCAATAGTAATGTGGCATATATGTTTGTAAAAGATTAGTAGATGTCTTTGAATAGGATAAATGCCACTAAATTATTTGACACTCTCAATAAAGTAAAACATCTATAAAAAAAAACAAATAACTTATCATCCAAGCCCTAGGTTACATTTTTATAGATGAACTTACTTTACATTGTTCTATGTAGTTTTGGAAAAAGTATATATAGATATATCTATATATATATATATATTTTAAATATAGAAGTATGGTATAATTAATTCTATTGCATTAATGCATATCAAAACTAAAAGCCATTGACTTTGATTATAAATAATGCAATGTACTTGACAAACATTTCTTCAAGCTGAGACAAACACACCATTGTTTCTTCATTGTTATACACTAAACTTGTCACAATTCCACATTCTATTTAGAAGATACTTTGCGAGGTATAAAATTTACTTAAATTATTATAGAAGCTCTGCATATTTTTTTTATATAGTGCCTTTACTCTAGAAGATGCAAAGACTTATATTTTTGTCAACGTAAGTTCTAGGTGACAATATTTAAATCACCTCAACCATCCAATACCAAAGACCATGTTTTTGAATGACATGCATCAAGTCTTAATTATTTCAAAAACTGTCATTTTTAAAGTTGTAGAACTTAGACCTAAGCTCTTATTGCACATAGCCACATAGTACTATATATGCTCTCTCTCTTCTTTTATAATTAGAACACCTTGAATTCCTCCGTTTTTAGATTTTTGCACATCATAGTACTACTTTTTAAAAGTTGAGTATAGAATATCATGGCTTGAAGCTACTTGCTTTATGCTTACATCCTATTAATGATCTATTGAAGCTACTCTCATTTGCTCATTGCTCTAAAAAGAATTTTCTTTTATTTTGATAAAATGGCTCCTATATTGGCTTCATTAGAGTGGTTGGAATTATTAGTTGTTAACATCTCCTAATATTTTCTAAATACCTGTGATGTCCTCGACATTGGAATTGTTAAAGAGTAGTACTATACTTTAATTCCTCATTTTGGTCTTGTTCACTATTTCACTACATCTACCTCTCTTTTGCATTGCTAGCTTCATCCTCCTCCACCCAAAACTCTATTGCTCTAGCCTTATCCACTCAAACTTCACATCCCTCTCCTTGCTCTTCAATCAACTTTACCACCCTAGCCACTTCTCATATTTTACAATTGTATAATCTCAAGTGCTTCATAATCCTAAATTTGAGTTCTAATAAGAGAATCAAACTTACTTACACTACTATTATACATAAAAATTATGGTCTTATTTGCTACTCTTAAAACTAAATTCATTCACAATAATCCTGTTTCTGACCATAATATGTTAGAATTAATTAATGTTGTGAATGGGTTGTCTACCTTACATAGTTAGCATGGCATTTAACTATAGGTTCTACTAGCATTGTTGACAGGATTGACAAGCTGAGTATAATGATTTGCAGAGCATCAAGCAGGATGTGTTTCCGTAAAGGAAAGAACTTGCTAAATGGAAATGTGATTTCTAGAGACTCCAGCCACAAAAGATGATAACAAAAATCAATCTATGATGGAAACCTTAAGAGAAAGTTTGCATGGAAAAGAACATATTTAACAACTCTTTTTCAACAAGCTATATATATATATATATATATATATATATATAGCTTATATGCAGTGAATATATCTATATTTGCTATCATCAGGTCTCGATTTGATGAATGCCGTTCATGCCGATTGACCTTACGATATCTCTCTTGGGAATCTGATAAGATACCTAAAACTGAGAATTTAGCCTCCTATCTGCCTTACACATGCAAACCTTTAGAATCACGAGAACATGCCTTAACTCGATAAAGCAGACAAATTGATTGTCTATATAGTTACAGTTCATACTTCAAACATATCTCTTGTGAAAGAATAACACACTCATAAGAGCAATAAAGTAAGAAGTTTCCGACTGGCCATGTTTCTTACAAAACTTGAAGCGAATGCACCATGTTTGTCTACAACAAGAATCCGTGGCCAAATTGTCTCCAACTAGTAGAAGTTCATGTGCAAGAAAACATTAGGTTGGTGAAATTGGGTAAAAATAGTACGACATTTGGAGATCTACATATTTAAATTCCACAACAGCAATATCATCAAGTCAAACATCCAAAGAAGGTATCAAGAGTGAGGTGCAACACACTTGATGTCAACAGTATTCGTTAATCCAGCAGTTAGTATTCCAATCTGCAGATTAGGGTTTGAATAAGACAGAGTGGTATTGGGATGCTCCAGTTCTATATTGGTCAAACTTGTGGCAGAAGCACCATCTGCAACCCATCATCAGCTTATAACTTCATCACAAGAATGCATACCACAAGAATCATCAGGCGTAATCATTTTCGGCCTACCCCATCAGATTAAACTTGCTAGCAGACACTTAAAGCAAGTAGACAGGCAAGGTCATCGTATAATTCGTTCGTCCATATAACACTATAAGAAAAAACAATCAGCATCTAATCTTCCCATTATGATAATCTGCATACAACGAAAGGCAACCTTCAAAGTAATAGACTTTGCAGTTCCAAACGTTATATTTTTGTCATACACTGTTAATTGCAACGATGGAGACAAATTTACTCTGCTAGATATAGTAGTGCAAGAGGTTGCCACTTTGACATGAGGCTTAGTTGCGACAATTATTTTCTACATGCGAATTTAAATGACTGCTTTTGTGCTACAGAACCTCTGCACTTCTGTACTTTGACCTGACTAACTAGACCCAAACCAAATGATTTCGCAGCGAAAAATTCTGCAGTCTTTGTACAGTTCATTCTCACAGTGAGAGGACTCAAAAGACTTGATTTTTAAAAGCTAGACTCAAACAATCGCCCATACAACTTGACAAAAAGAAGAAGTGAAATCCTTCTTCGTGAGGACCAAGCCTTTGACATCTTACGATCAATAAAGGTAACACTAAATGAGATGCCTTTCGTTTCGAAACTACAGAACCTTCCATCAAGGCGACATCCTCGACCCAAGTCATATAAAACACAACGTAAGGTTCACGGTTATTACTGGCTTCTGATTATCATTCTCGGCAGCACGCCACAAAATAGGGCGTTCGGGGGAGTCAGTGGAAGGAGACCAACATACAAGCATGCATCGTTGTGTGCGCATTCAGGACTGAGCCAACTCAGACTGTCAAGCATGCCAACTGGATGTATTGTTCTGATGACGTGGATGACGAAAACTGCAGACGAAGGGTCGCGTTCGGCCAATTCCTCATTCGTCCAGTGGGAAAAGTTTTTTCTCGCCTCTGGCCCCTCGGAGACCCCGGAGCATTGCATTGGATCGCGGAACTCGTGCGAAGCAGAGCTCCACGATCTACTGTGTAGTATACTCGCTGTATTGCATCAAAGCTTTGCAATTCTAGTCGACGCGTTTAAGTGTCGGGGCTATCCTCATTGTTAGTGGAGATTTATTTTGGAATGAACTGCTGAGGTGTTATGAAAAGACGTTGTTCAGTAGTATAGATTGTGTAAACTCTCTCGTTGATGAAGGAATCGGTGAATTCTGTCGCCAATGACGATCTAATGGGGTTGAATTCTCTAGGAGGTTTTTTCTCGGAAGATAATTCTGATGTATAAGGTGAGAGGTGCGTTAGGTGGTGAGTTTATTGGTTGGCTAGGGTACAATGACGAACTCGAGTGCGTCTGTGCAGCATTTGTGTTGTTAGTTTGTGTTATCATAGCTGGGAATAGCAACAATGGCTCCTGTAGCGGATGCTAATCCTCCATCGCCACTTCAGCTGCCGTTGAGCCTCAAGTCCGTGGCATTTCTGTTTGAGGATGATACCTCGGGACCTTTGTGGTTTAAGAAAGACGCATTTTCGAATGCTTCCTTTGATCCAGAGGCTTATATCTCAGATCTGAGACGCTTTGTACCGTTTGAAACCCTAAGGGCTGAGCTTCGTGATCATCTGGGAGGATTGAAGAGCGAGCTGGTGGAGCTTATTAATAGAGATTATGCCGATTTTGTGAACTTGAGTACGAAGCTCGTGGACGTCGATGGGGCTGTACTACGTATGCGGATGCCTCTGAACGAGCTCCGAGGGAAGCTTGTCTCAGTGAGGGATAATGTGAACAGCACGCTGCTCTTATTGCAAGACGGGTTGAAGAGACGGTCGGATGCTTCTGCTTCAAGGGAAACGCTGGAATTGCTATTGGACACTTGTCATGTTGTCTCCAAGGTTTATTTCCTGTCAGCTCTTACCTATTGCTTTGTTTTTTCAGAGTTTCCTTTTCATTTTGATGTAGTTTCGCTAGCCTGTTTATTCGTTAATTATTTCAAAATATTTATCATGAAGCTGCTCTTGAAGAATTACAAGTAAAGGCCAATGTTGTCCAATTCGAGGAGATTTCCTTCATCGTGACTTCCTTAAGCCTCCTATATGCTGTGACGTAATACAAAAAATGTTGGTGGTAGGTAAACGTTTTGGCAATTCTTTAAGTCCATACAAGTCACATGCATAGAAACTCTGCGGAAATCGTATTATTTTGAGAATTTGCTTGATATAGTGCTCTCATACTTCCTCTATTTACTCGAATGAAGAGTCTGTTAATAAAACCCAACGCTTTTCAACATCAGCATAATTATTAGTCTATATGTTATTGTATATTATAATCTCACAGCGTGAGACTAACACGTAGTACGTACTATTCTTTTCGGAAGGCCCATTTTTGAAGTGTACAACAGTGTTGGCGACAGTTAGTACATTTATGTATACGGTGAAAGAATTCACCAACTTCAATGTGCGTCCTGTCGATTTGGACGTATTTTAAATGCTTATTGGTTTCATGGAGCAGCCAGTGAAGAGAATCGACTGTAGGTCATGTCTCCTAAACCGAGACCGTGACCCTCAAATAATACAGGGTTGACCACCGATTGCGATCAAGGCCTGTCGACCTCAAGACTGCGCGTTTCCTGATTCATTCTATGTGGCCTTTTTACATCGTTTCCTGAATGCACATTACTAACAATAATACTTGAATTTTATGTAGGTTGAAAAGCTTCTACTTGAGCTGCAATGTATGCCTGAAGATGGGCCTCAGCCGCTTCAAATTGAAAAGAACGACGGATTTCGGAAAGTCAATAGCAATAACAATTTGGGCGAAGATCATGGTGCCAGTCTGGAGGAACCGCGGAGTCGATTACTGGAAAGGATAGCCAGTGAAATGAATCGCTTGAAGTTCTATGTTGCGCGTGCTCAGGTTTGTTGATCATGAGTTATGGTCTGCATATGCATTTCTGGATATTGAAGGCATTCTCGTGTAGTCTCTTTTGCGTCAGTGTCAGAAATAGGCTTAGTTAAATTATATTTCAAAATTTTAGTAATCTTGTTCAAGTCCTTTATTCTTGCAGTACCATCATGGTAGTTATCTTCCAAGATACAGTGCTTTTTTGTACAGAAAGATCTACTTTTTCTGACCTCCAGCGCAGGATTTCACATACTACTTGTAAAGGTCTCAACATTGAATGGCCTACAAGGTCACTCCTATGCGTAGTTAGCCATATTATAAACTCTATGTATTATTTTGGAGATTTATCTGGTTTATTGAGACTGTCCATTGTTAATGGCTTTGATACTCACATAATTCTATCTGAACTTTCATTTCATTATGTTTGCATAGGACCTGCCGTTTATTCAAAACATACAGGCTCGCATAAGTACTGCAGATGCGACTTTGGATGCTAGTTTGCGGTGCTGTTTTGTGGGAGCTCTTGAACGGCAGAATGAAGTGGTGATTGTCCACTGCTTGCGCGCCTACGCTGCTATAGATAACAGTGCTGGGGCCCAGGAGGCATTCCGGTCTGCTGTAGTGTCGCCATTTGTGCAGAGAATTGTTCTCTCTTCGTCAGGGGTTGCAGTGCCACAAAGAAGTGACAGGCTTGAAGAAATGTTCGAGGATATCAAGACCCACATTCAGACTGATTGTTTGTTTCTTCTCGAGAAGGCTGCGGCATGTGATTGTTTCTTCTTACTCTTCTTATTGTGTGTTACTCTTGCTTTTTATGGGAACAATGATTTCATAGTTGCCTCATGTTCAGAGTCTCTACATTTCTTGTTGATTCAAGGTCAAGTATCGTATGACTTCGCTGATCAGAAGATCATGTACCTCTCTATTTTGTTCAAGAGTTGTGTAAAGGTGCATGGTTACGTCACATTTACTTTGGGATTAATTGTTATCCAGAAAGATATCTGGCTGATGAAGCGCACATGACAACGTTACAATATTCATAAGAAAATATTTAAAGAGAATACTCTCTTTTCTCTAATGCTACTAATAGGTCTTAATAGAATATTGAGTAGCGAATATCTCATTGTTGTAAATATCACAGGTAGTTAAATGAGGGGTATGTTGGGTCTTATTTCCTGTATTTCCGTAGATTGTGACTATATTAGTCCCAAAGGAGAGATGTGGTGGGTGACTAACGCACTTGGCCTGTGTCATTGGATTCTTGTAGCAAATTCAGGGTTACAGGTTTTTGACTTTTTGAGCAATTCGATCTTGAAGGAGGTTCTCTCAGCTTTACAAACGGGGAAGCCGGGTGCCTTTTCCCCCGGAAAACCAAAAGAGTTTTTGGCTAACTACAGGTCCAGTCTGAAATTTTTAAATTTTCTAGAAGGTACCGCTTACTTTGGGTCAATCATTAATATGAATTTTATGTAATTATTTATTTTTTTATTATTGTTTCTTGCTTCCGTGCAAGTTGTATGTTTTTTTGGTCCAGGGGTGGTTCTGCTATCATTATTCACTCGTTCTGCTCTTTCCTATAAATAAAAATCACATAACTAGTGTATTGAAATTCGTGCGTTGTTAGCTGTCACCTGAGTTATTCACTTCAGGTCTTTGCCATTGTAAGAGTGTCGGTGTCCTCATGATTTGACTACCCTTTGGCAGGATTCTGTCGTTCAAAAAATGAAGTAGGCTCTTTTCGGGCATCAGTTGCATACACGGACTTCCTCAAGCAGTGGAATTTGCAGATTTATTTCACTCTGAGGTATGTTGCATTTGGTAGAACCACATGCTATTCTGCTGTGGTAGTAAATGTTTGTATTGAAATGGATGGTCATTAACATGTAGTGATGAGCTCGTGCAGGGAACTAACCTAACATTTTTGTGGTAGATTCCAAGAAATTGCTCAGTCTTTAGATAATTCCCTGGCCGGACCTTCAGCAACACAGAAAGACCCTTCTAAAGCTGAAGAGAATAAGCTCGGGCTGGCTTTAAGCTCTAGTATCACGCTATGGGAATGTCTTCAACGCTGTTGGCAAGATGATGTGTACATTGATGCCATCTCTGATAAATTCCTGCGTCTTTCACTACAATTGTTGTCAAGGTGTGGTTATCTCTTCATTATCTTTTTTTTTGCATGGATGTTCTTTGCTGTTCAACCTCATCTCATGCGCGTTTGAATTGATTCCAGCGTTTTGCAAATTTTTCAGATATGGTACATGGCTAGCGGTTGGTTTGGCTGCTCGCAAAACTGGCGATGCTAATAATCATCCTGGAGGCGAGTGGGCGCTAGCTTCTGCTCCTGAAGACTTTGTCCTTGTGGGGCTTAAATCCTCAACTTCACCTTTTGCGCTGCCATTGCTTCCTACACGTGAATTTTCATCCACAAGCATGCTCTTTATTATGAGCTGATTCTGGTGATGTGGCTGTACTCTAATGAATTTATTTTGTGTGCAGCTGAGACATGATGTAGAACTTCTGGTGCATGTGGTGAAGAGGTCATATACCGATCAAGTATTGGCACTTCTTAGTGGTAGCCCAAATAATGTCAGGGTGATGGTTCGTGAAAGCCTGTTTCTGGGGCCACAATCTTTGTTGACTATGGTACCTGATCTGTCTGATGTTCTTATAGAGGCTTTGACCGATAAATGTGTTGAGGTAAGATTGCCTTTCTTTATTTTGCATATGTAACTATTGACTCATGTTAATAAATGTATGTTGGTGTGCAACACTGCGTAATTTTCTATGCTCATCATTGTTGTCTATCTCATATCTTTTGTTACTCAATCTTGATCTACCGTGCTCATTTGTTGATCATCATACTTGTTTGCAGGTTCTAAAGCAAGCCAAAGGTATCGTTGCAACATACCGCATGACAAATCGGCCTCTTCCCAGTCGCCACTCTCCTTATGTTACCAGTATCCTTCAGCCACTTAAGGTCAACAGCTCTTACTCTTATCTAATGATGATTACGATCATAATGATCACAATGACCGTTAGGTTTACATACAAAAAACGTTTGCTCTCCTTGGTATCATTCATGTGCGTCCTTGCTATTGACTTAATTTTCATCTCATGTCCAATTTTTTTCCCTAGAAAGACATTCCCTGTGCTGTCGTTGTCTTCTTGAAAGATCGTTTTGGTGTTGACCCCCACAACTTTTTATTGCTTGTGCAGACGTTTCTGGAAGATGACAGATATGCCCATGTAACGAATGAGATGCACGCAGAACTAATTGCTTCCGTCTCAGAAAAAATAACGTCCCAGTACGATGTTTTGGCGAGAGATATGGTTTCAATGGTAAGCGTCCCTGTCCTTACTGGATTTAAGATTATGATTTCCTTCATGTGTTTGAATACCCATGCATCCCTTCTGCATCTCTAATGATGTTTCCTCGTGATTATCTGCAGGCTAGACAAACGGAAGCCTCGTTGCTGCTTCTAAGACGAGGTGCTCGACAGAGAGGTGCTGGATCTGCTGACACTACCGACAACGTCTCTGATAATCTTTCTGATAAAATCTGTGCTCAGTTGTTCCTGGACGTCCAGGTAACTTGAGTTTCTCCCTGTTGGAATCAAGTTATTAGGCCAATACTGCATGAGTACTACAAGACTTTACTTCGCTATGAATCTACTAGTTTAAAAGAATACCGTGATCTACTAGTTATACTTCGTTAGCAAATTGTTTTATCTGATTGTTATTTGCCATGTACAATAGCAATGTGTAAGGCGTCTAAATCTCATTTTGGTTGTCAAACAGGAATATGGTCGCCGTTTAGCCGCTTTGGGAATCACAGCAGCAGACCTACCAGCCTACACCTCCCTATGGCAATGTGTTGCTCCTCAAGGCATGAATTTGACAAGTTAGAACTTATCCTAGGGCAAACAAGATATGTCTTCTGAACAGCAGCATGTTTGGAATCCTCACCCATCTGAAAAGCCAAAGTTGAAGAATCTTTGGAAAAGGAAAAGCAGTGGTAACATTTTGATAAGATCAACTTAGCATGTAGTTTTGATTGATGGGTGCATGTACGATCTTCAAAAGTTGAATTATAATTTGAAGAACTGTATGGGCTGGTTAGAGGACAAATTTCGGGCTCGTGAGCAATAGGAGTCAATTTTGCCATGACCCCAAGGATGATTCAAGGTAGAGAGTTGGTGAGAAAAAATTGAGGTACTTTCTTAGCATTGGCTTTGTATTCGATCTTGTCCTTAGTGTGGAAATAAGCACAAAACGCAATCACTAAAAAAACGAAAAAGGGCACCACATAGTCAATGCCAAAGAGGTTCCTTTTTTTCGAAGACGCAAAGATCCAACCCTCAAATTGAAATCGACAACAGAAAAAAATGAAATTCACTACATGCTAAGTCTTTGACAAGAATCTTGAGCAGGTGGTCATTTTCTGCCACTTCCTTGCTTGGAATTGCTTTCACACAACCACTCTGGAATAACTGAAAATATCTACGAAACCTGAGAAGATGAACTCAGCCTTTGATTGAGAAACCTAAAGCACAACATCCTGGTTCCGAGGCTGCTCATCTAGACCCAGAGTGTGTTCCGTCGTGTTCCATCGAGCTTCAGATGACGATGCATTCGCTTGGGCTGGGAGTGTCGGCATCTGCAAAAATGTCGTCATCGATGTCGTCAAGCATCGCCGCAAGGCCTTCACGGTCAGGCCCACCCTGGTCGCGAAGTTGGGTGCGGGTTATGTCCTCTTGTCCAACTCGCAGATGCTGTGTCCGGAACAAAAATCTCACACGATTCGAGGTCAGATGGCTATACCTTCTTCGCCACTGTCTTCTCATGCTCTACACAACATAGGCACCCAGTCAGGGAAAAACACCCGTCACATGAGAATTCCATCGCTGTTCCTAGTAATTGCAGAAACATGCCAGTAACATGTCTAGTATGTGAGCAATATGAACCTCTCAGGTTCAACGGTACAAATCCAACGGAAACCAAGTGGACACAGAGACTTACCGTGTCGGTGTGCTCCGGATGGTGAGGGGTGGATGTCGCCTCTGGAGACCAAATTTTGATGGTAGGATCAATGCCACTGGTGGCCAGAATGGTGGCATGAGGATGGGGCTCCACACAATTGACAACAGAGTGGTCTCCTTTCATTAGAGCAACAAGCCTCCCTCCCTTCTTCCTCCAGATGAAGATTCTTCCGCAGTCTGATCCACTGACGACGTACTCTGCACGCGGGCCGAAGAAGTTCACCCCCTTCACAGTCTTGTAGTTGCGGTGCCCTTGGTACACTTGCGGTGATAAGGATTCCAGATTGGAAGTTCCCCTGGCCTCTCCTTCAATATCGTCTTCGAGGTCGTAAAATTGGACGTTTATATGGGGTGTGTCACCCAGGTTCATGGATTTATCAAAGAGGTAGATGAGGTCATCGTTGTAAGAAACTAGAAGCTCCCTCTGGTGTGAGTACGCGAGGGATGTTATCTGTTCACTGTAATCTATATCACAGTTGTACAAATCACACGTGAATACTTTGTTAGAATAGAATTTCCAGCTTAGTGGGAAGGATTACCTGATACAATCTCCTGTGCTTCCACTCTGTCGTATGTATTCACAAGTTACAATCATTTGGAGTTTGAAGAGCATTACCGAGGCCTTGCAAGTGTTTTGGAGTATAAGTCTCAACCGGTTGATCCTCCATTATCAACCCACTTGCATTTAACCTCCGAATGTCATAAACGCGTGCATATTGATCCGATCCCCCTACTGCAAAGTAGTTCAAGTCTATTGGGTCCATGACAATAGAATGTAGCCGGATTGATCTAGTCTGGCTTGGTTTGCCGGTGTTGAGTTTATATTTATGGCAAGTGAGGAGCTTTTTGGCTTTCTCCTCCCGCAAATCAATCTGGGAACAACTACTTAGTGAGATAGAAAATAAAAAAACAAGAGTGGTTTCTATTCGGATATAAAATGAAAAAAAATTCAGACTCAAAGCAGCCAGATGAACATTAATATTCATAAGAACCAAACTTCCTCAGCTGCAGGTTCACGTGAGTGAACAGGAAGGTTGGTCCATGTTAACTGTTGCGGCACTATCTACATAATGAACATCATCTTTTAATGGGTTACCGTGGTAAGCTCATAGTAAAACCAAACAAATATCTCCATTAGATTGTCAAATGATGAAGATAGACTTCTTTTCGAATTAACCGCAGAACTCTTACTTTCTTAGTCAATGTAATAGAAATTCTTCAGGTGGAGCTGCACATATCACTGATGATTACAATGTGTACCTTCCAATGAACAAAATATTGTTGCAATCTCTATGTTCCTTACACATGAGGAAGAGTAGGAAAAAAGCAAACGTACGTGTTGTACCACGCCATCTTCTCCGCAACTATAAATAATGCGAGAGCTGCCAGGCTCAATTGCCATCTTGTGAGAGTGGCCCCTATGTTGTCCAAGACATTTCGTTTTTGCTGACCCATCTTGTAGTATGGCTCCATATCTCACCTGCTCAAGAACTTGTGATAAGTCGACCGTCATCCTGAGCCCACGAAACATGCGCATCTCGAGGGTGGAAGCTAAAATAAGTGAAGCAAAGAATCTGAGACATGAAAGAAGCAATGCAAACAAACAGAAAAGAAGGAGAAGATCCATATTAAGACTTCAAGAGCTACTTTTTTTCTAGCAAGAGTATGACACATTTGCAAACTCATGTGGGCTTTGCCTTAAAGCATCTCTAAGGTGTCCAAGGGAACAACCGAAAGGTCTGCGACAGCATTGACAGTAGTGAAATTGTCAAGCGCAATCAGAAACATAAAACTAGGATGGAAAGAGTAAAATGATCAACTAATCACAATCGAATAAAAAATTATGTCTCTATACAGGAAACCCAGAAGAAGAGAATAGGTTTAACAGACCTGGCCATCGGCCGCACAGGTCACAATGATGCGATTATCGCAATGTGGCATTACCAGGGCCTGGAACACATTTTTTTCGTGGCCAGAATTGTAAGTGAAAACTGGCCTTCTCTCTGCCCAGTTCCACACAATTATAACCTGATCAAATGATCCAGACACTAAAAGCTCCCCGGTTGGATCGAAAGACACTGAACTAACACATCCACCATGACCGCTCAATTCCCCATACATAGTAAAACGGCGAACAAGTTCCTGCGGTTCATAACTCAGTTGTAAGTAACGGGAGAAGGCACATGAACCTTGTCAAGGCGGGATATGAATTAATAGCTGTCCCTGCTATGATTCCTTGCCGAGGGTGATGTAGACATTTACTCGAACACGCTTTATTTTTTACGATATATCCAGCACCGAAACCATGCAAAATAATGCTGGTCTGCTGCCAGAGGAGCAGCCAGATGTACGAGCAGACCAGGAAATTACTCTCGTCTTATCCGGGGAGGAGTTTCCATACCTCACAGCCTCCGATTTGGCGCGCAAAGGCTGCAGGACTCACATCCCCAATCTGGAGACGCCAATGCTCCCCTAAGCCACACTCGTATAAATTCTGTCTAGGATACATCTTCCTTGAGCTCTGAAACTGCATAACAAATGCGCATGCCCTTCCAAAAGTTTCTCAAGGATTTCCTAAAATTTCAAACTTCCCCCCTCAATGTCTCATCTGCATTGGTCTTGTGGGGAAGCAATCGAATTGAATTCCTATCCATGTAGCCCTTATTTAACGATGCTGCCACATTTACACTACTCATTAGAGATGCCTCAAATCTTCACAAAATGCCTGTTTATGCCCTCAATAATCAGCAACCGGAAGCTGGAGTGATATGGAGCTTATTGAAGACAACTCAGGGAGAATCCAAGCGGTTCCTGTTTATCTCATGGACATAACCAGATGGCTGATCCTCGCCTGCGTAAAACAGATTAAGCCTCCAAAATTCCATCAGCTTCGCTCCACACTCTGCATCTAATCCAGCCACGATGTACACCATGACATGCAACTCATTCCACATAAAACAACCGCCGGCGCACGGACTTCCCAAGACCAAGCACAGTCATCTCGTTTCCTCCGATAAGAGGTCGTACGAGACACTTTCACAATTCACGAGATCGTGCCAACAGTGTATGTTCAGTCAAAGAAAGAGACCCAAAGACCGTCCCAGGAAAATCCCAAAACCCACATGCCCAGCCTCCGCCAGACCACCTCTGAATCTAGTTCCAAACGTTAACCTGCGCATGTACAGAACGCATTCCCACCTCATTGAACAGCGCAAGCTGTCTCAATTGCTGCAACTCCGACTTGAACAAGAACCGCATCATAAACTCTGTCCCATTTCTAAACCCCAACTCGGGCAACCGCAGTTTGTCGCAGATCCTTCTGCAGGAGATCAACTGAAACTCTACGATCCAGCAGAGCTAAACATGACGTGGTACATTGCAAGCAAGAGATTAAGCAAAGCATCTCCTCAGGAAGACCGTCAGGAACCTTGATAGATGACCAAGCCTACAGATCTCCACACAGCCTCAAGCACATCCTGTGTTATATGTTGTACACAGGCGGCACTTGGATTGAGGGCGGGGAGAATGACGCGGTGGATTCACACTCCAACAAGTCATGTCGAGCACACCGATGAGGAGATCTCGGTTGGGACACCACTCACTCTGCCTGGTGTCGGTTTGTCGGTATGTGCACACACCGACACACCCACACTTGGAGCTCGTACTTTCCTGTACCTGGACCAATAGATTTCTCAATAGTGTAGTCAACTTTCTATCGTGAAATGCAAAATTATCATTCATAAGCACCATCAGGTTTTTTTTTTACAATTTTTTTTTTACTTTTTAATACATAGAGTAACCTTTGTGTGCTAGGATACAAGTATTGTTTAGATTTCATACTTGGGATTAGAACTATCATTTTTTTTTGGTGTTATTTTGTAGTTTAGGGTGGTTTTTTCATCCTCAATGTCAATCCAAATTATACTATTGTGATATTTGAGTAATATTTTTAAAGATTTGTAAAGTTTTATTTATTGAGCTTAGAAAATTCATTTTTGACTTATAGAGATTGAAAAGTATGAAATAAAGTTATATTAAATTTAAAATATAAAATAAATTATAAAAATATAATATATAAAATATAAGTGTATATACATGTGTATATGTATATTTATTTTTAAAAATTAAAATTAAAATATAAAAACTATTTAAAAGTTTTAATATTTAGAGAAGGAAATTTTGTTTTATTATCAAAAATAAGAAATGTGTAAAATTTTGTAGAATATGCAATAAATTTCAAATATAAATTTTATTAGCATCAAATATTAGTTAATATTTGATTATTAAGGAAAACCAATCTATAATATGAGTTCAAATAGACTAATACTTTTCTACTATTTAAAATAATGAGATTTTAGAATAATAGAAGATAGGCTTCTTGAATAAAATGACTTAGTAAAAAGACTAATGTGACTAAAAATGCCTAATTAGTGATGTTAAGATTAAATAGGAGTTTATGAATTGACAAAAATAACAAGTAATAATGCAATTATATTTAATTATGTTTAGAGTGTGAATGCATCAAAAGAGATCATCCTCCACCTTTATCAAAATTATCATCTTATTGAATGTTATTTAATGTCTTGTCAACAAAACTTGTATAAAAATATATCTTGAGATTTTATATTTATTTTTTTATAAAAAATATATTATATATTATAAAATTATTGTTATTAAAGTTTTTATTTAATTATTTATATTAATTAAAAAAACACAATTTTTTATTTTCTAACAAAACATAGAATTCTATTTTTTATTATATTTGATAGATTGTATAAATATAAAATTATTCAATTAATAATTATTAATAAAATTATTAAATCAATATTAATCTCTATTTTATAGCATACAAATTATATATTATTCTAATAATTCTATCTAGTCAATTATATTCTAGTAAACTCAAAAAGGCTTAAAAGATAAATCTTAGCTCAGAATGAACACGAGCAATATGCACTCAAGTTAAATATTGTTTTTTAATCAAAAACAAAAGAAAAAAAAGAAGAAAGAGACAAACAAATGAATAACATGTAAAAATGTGCCAAATAATTTGGGCCAAATCTTGAATGAATAAAAGCTAAAAAGTATTTTTTAATGACCCCAAGTAGTATTAGGTAATTGGTTTGGTAAAAGCTTACCAAGTCTAAAATAATTGTAAAATTGTTGAGATCATTAAATGTAGCCGGCGCTCTCCATAATATTTACTGTTGACTATAGTAAATATTATAGCTACAGTATTTAGAATCTAGTAGAGAAGTATTATTTATCCTCTCCCATTTTCTCTTCTTGTATACGAGACACAACCAGATCAATAGATTTTTATGTATGAAGCTCTCTCTTCTTAGAAACCCTCTTGCGTGTATGACTTACTACTACTCTTGTGTGTGTGTATGACTTACTATTATTCTTGTGTCTTTCTAAATATTCTCAACATGTTATCAGCATGACTCTCTTCTACACACTATCACAATTTTTTTTGTTCTAGTCTTGACTCTTCAAACCTGTTGCTACTCTTGTTTTGTGTCTACCTCATGATCTTGTTGCTCTTCTTGTTAGTGCCTCACACATTAGCTGCTTGCTTAGAGCACTTGTTCCACTCTCTGCCCTGCTTGCTTAAAATACTTGTTTAGAGTACTTGATCCAGCCCAGCTCTATCCCAGCTTACTCCCTACTGCGTCTCAAACTGCCGCCAAATAGCCATTGAACTGCCGCCAAACAGTCGCCAAATTGCTGCTGAGTTGCTGCCAAACCCATTGTCGATGTTGCCCGCCACTGCGACCCTGCCACCCTACCACTGCCTGCTGCCGCCATCTTATTGTTGTTCTGCTATTTTAATCCACAACCTCCCTAATATATATATATATATATGTAAAAGTTGAGTAATATATATATTTCAAGTTCAAGTTTATCATTTTATTTGACTTTATATTTTAAGGTATGTTTTACTCAACTTTTCTACTTGATCTTGTATTTTCTTTACAGATTTATTTATAATGAGTGCTTCAACATCTTCAACTGCTTCTACTATGGTTCCAACTATTATTAGTACATCCCAACATTTTCAAGCTCTTTTATTTCCACCATTGACTATAGATGGAAATAATTATTTATTATGGACAAAAATGGTAAAAGTAAATTTATTTATAGAATAACTCTCAGATGCCATTATATTTGAAGAATCTCTTATAATAAGTATTTTTATATCTCCTGCTATTCATTGGAAAGCACTTCTTCTCCTTCGTCATCATCTTGTACTTGCATTACAACATCAATATTTAGAAATGGAAGATCCTATAGAACTTTGGAAGAATCTTAAATCTAGGTTTGATCATCAAAAGACCATTTTTCTTCCACGTGCATATCATAATTGGACACATTTACGTATCAAATTTTCTAAATTTAAATGCTTTCAATAGTAAAATATATAGTGTTGTCTCACAATTATGATTATGTGGAGAAAGCATTTCTAAAGAAGAAATAATTGAAAAAACTCTCTCTACATTTCCTCTTGTATCTATTGTGCTTGCACAACAATACATGAATATGAAATTTCAGAGTCATTCTGATCTCATGTCCTATTTACTTCTTGCAGAGAAGTAAAATGAGCTATTCTTATGCAATGCGAAAGCTCGTCCTATTGGAACTATAGTTCTAGAATCTCATGCACTTAATATTTCAAAGTCTAAGAAGAAATTATATAAATATGGAAAACATGCTCATAAATATCAGGGTAGTCATAGTCATGACCATTTCTACCCATATAGAAAGAATAAATATTCTAATATTAATTATAGTAGAAAAAAAAAATCAAAGATGCGTTCTTGCCATAAGTGTGGAATGATTGGATATTTAGCACATGCATGCCATACTTCAGAATATTTTATTAAAATATTCCAAGAAAATAAGAAACTACGAGCTGAGGCTCGTCAAGTTCATACTATGGATGCATTGATGGATTCAATTGGTGTTGATGAGTTAGAGGCTTATATGAATGACAAAACCTCTAATGATGAATCAAATGATAGGCTCATTGATTCTGCAACAATACATACTATCTTGCGAGATAGAAGATTTTTTATTGAAAAATCTTCAACTTGGTAAACTAAAAATATGATGACCATGGCTGGAGTAAATGCGTTTTGTTTCTAAGAGGGCACAGCCATGGTAAAATTACCTGTGGATTCCATCATAAAATATAAACATACGATGTTTGCACCCTCATCACCTTGGAGTTTGATCAGCTATTGAGATGTGCGTATTAATGGTTATCATCTCTCGACTGCCACTTTAAATAGAAAAGAGGTTTTGGTTCTTGCGAAGAACCATAAAGTTGTTGAAAAAGCTTTTGCTACAAAAAATGGTTTATACCAAATTGTGATTCGGCCTTCCATTATATTTAATTTTGCATCATCTATCATAGAGAGTCATGTTTCTTTGTGGCATGGATGATTGGGACATCCAAGATCCACATTATTTAGAAAGATCATTCCATGTATAACTAGGCACAATTTAAAGCCTACGGATGTAGACTCTATGGAATTATGTTGTGCATGTGTGTAAGGTAAAATGATTACTCGGCCTTCAATTTGGAAACTTCCACAAGAATTACCACCAATGCTTGAAAAATTGCATGGTGATATTTGTAGTCCTATTAATCCAATATCAGGACCATTTCGTTATTTTTTGGTCCTTGTTGATGCATTAGGTAAACAATCATATATTTCATTATTATCAACTAGAAACATAGTGTTTGCCAATCTTGTATCTATGATTATTTATTTTCGGGCACATTTTCCTGATTATCCTATAAAAATATTACGTATGGATAATACAAAAGAATTCACATCAAAGTCTTTTGAAGACTATTGTACTACAATAGGAATTGAGGTGACATATTATATTCCATATGAACATGCTCAAAATGGACTTATAGAGTCATTTATAAAGCATATACAATTCATTACCTGGCCACTCCTCTTTCATGCAAATTTACCTGCATCTATGTGAGATCATGCAATTTTACATGGTGCAACATTAATACGCCTCCTCCCTTCTTCTCTTGAAATTGTTTCACCACATGAGCTCATTTTGGGTTGTGTTCCAAATGTATCTCACTTATGAGTAATTTCTTGCCGTGCTTGGATTCCAATACCAAAACCTCAATGACGTACCATTGGAGCTCATCGACAAGAAGGCATATATGTTGGTTTTGATTCATGAAGCATTATTCATATTGTTGATCCATCAACTGGCACATTATTACGTGCACATTTGTAAAATTATCGTTTTAAAGAAAATATATTTTCACCTCTTCAAGGAGGAGTATCCAATCAACAAAGAAATAAAGTACTCATATTTGAAGCACTAGAAACGTTTACAATGAGTCCCGATCTTAGGACATCTTTGGCAGAAATTGAAGTTGCTAAGATTTTGCATCTAAAACGGATCGCAGATGAAACACCTAATGGCTTCAATGATACACTTAGAATTACAAGAGTTCCTATTAATGAGGCTCAGAATGCACCTACTCAGATTGCAGTGCCATTGATTATAATACCTCAAGTTATAACAACAACAACTAAAAGAACTTGTGGACTAGATAAGCAACCACGTAAGAAGAAAGCTATAAAATTGACTAATCCTGTTATTATTTCTCAAGAAATTGCCACTCATCTTGCGGGACTATCAATTCATGATGACATATCCATGCATAATGTACTTTCAATTCCTATGAAAAACAATCTTAGAATTGGAAGGAATAAGAACAAGTTGAGTAAAGAATTATCTATTCTGTATTGTGCTACATATGATATTTGGAACAGACCATCTATTTCGGTAGATGAATCATTTGCATATATGATTATAGAAGCCCTTTCTTGCGAGGAAGATGATCCTGAACCTCAAACCATTGAAGAGGCGATGTGTTGCTCTGATTGGTCAAAATAAAAAACTGCTATTGAGGAGGAATATGCCTCTTTGCATAAGAGGAAAAACTTTGGTCCAACTGTAGATACTCTTACATCTTGCCCTGTGGGATATAAAATGGTATTAATATGCAAGCGAGATGCTCAAGGCCAAATGATCCGCTATAAAGCTTGTCTTGTTGCTCAAGGATTTAATCAACGATTTGGCATTGATTATGAATCCACATATTCTCCAATCATGGATTCAATTACATTTTGATATATTATTGGAATGATAGTTCATGCCACCCTTGAGATGCATCTGATGGATGTAGTAACTACATATCTATATGGTTCTCTTGATGCAAATATTTATATGAAAGTTCCACCTGGCTTAGAAACAGGAACTCCAAATCGACCTGCTCCAAGACAATATTGTGGTATTAAATTATGTAAGGCCTTGTATGGTTTAAAACAATCCGGACGCATGTGGTATCAACATCTTTGAGATTATTTAATTACAAATAATTTTATAAGTGATCCACTAATCTCTTATTTATTTATCAAACAAGATAAAATTGGTTTTGTGATCATCGCTGTATATGTTGATGATCTTAACCTAGTGGATACTACATCTACATGTATTACAACTATAACGTTTATTAGACAAATAAACATTATAAAAATACTACCATTTGTTATAAATCTCTACCAACTAACGTTTATTAGATGAATCTTGCGAAGATTTAATATGATTGATGCTTTTATATTGTCCACACCAATGGTTGGATGTGGTCGTGATGGTCATGATCCATACCACCCATGCGAAGAGGAGGAGGAAATATTAGGAGATCAATATCCATACCTCGCAGCAATTGGAGCACTTTTGTATTTAACTACATCTACAAGATCAGATATTGCATTTGCAGTTAGTGTTCTTGCAAGACATAGTGCACCTCCAACACTATGACATTAGAATGGCATCAAATATTTATTACGTTATTTAAAAGGTACTGAAGACTTGGGATTATATTACACACAATCAGCAGATCCAAAATTGGTTGGATATTGTGATGCAGGATACAAATCTAATACTGCAAGAGCTAAATCTCAAACAAGATATGTATTTTTAAGACATAGAGGTACAATATCATGGAAATCAATGAAACAAATAGTAACTGCAACTTCATCCAACCATGCAAAAATTATTGCCTTACATGAAGCATCTCGAGAATGTATTTGGTTGCGATCAATTGATAAATTCATTCAAACAACCTGTGGATTTTCATATGATGATTCTCTAACTATCTTGCATGAAGATAACACTGCTTGTATTGCACAGATGCAAGTTGGTTTCATTAAAGGCGACAAGACAAATCATATTGATCCAAAATATTTTAGTTATATCCATGACTTGATAATTGATCAAACACTTATAATTAAGAAAATTGAATCTACAAATAATCTTGCTGATCTCTTCACCAAAGCTTTCCCATTATGCAACCATCGTCGACTTACTTATGGTATTGGTATGTGGCGAATTGCTTTTCTTGAATAAGAAAGTTAATGAGCTCTTTAAATAATTAAAGAAAATGATGTTGTTCTCTTTTTCCTTCATCTATGGTTTTATCCTTAAATACAATAAGGTTTTCTTAGATAAGGTTTTAATGAGGCAACTATTATTGATCTTGGAAGATCACAAAAAAGTATAGATCATAATTCTATACAAATTTTATATTATGTAAATATTATGATGAGCGAGGAGGAGTGTTGAGATCATTAAATGTAGCTAGCGCTCTCCATAATATTTACTGTAGACTATAGTAAATACTGTAGCTACAATATTTAGTATCTAATAGGGAAGTACTGTTTATCTTCTCCCCTTTTCTCTTCTTATATACGAGACACAACCAGACCAATAGATTTTTATGTAAGAAGCTCTCTTTCATTAGAAACCCTCTTGTGTATATGACTTACTACTACTCTTATGTGTGTGTATGACTTACTATTACTCTTGTGTCTTTCTAAACATTCTCAACAAAAACATAGTTTTTGTTTTAGAATTGCAACCACAAGAGGGACATTAAGCAACCATAGGAATTGTAGGCAAAATTTAGAATTAATTCATATATAAATATTATCCAATAGATTTCTATTTGTAAAGTTAAATTTGGAGCAAAGAAGTGTAGTCTTTGTCCATTGCCTATGCTTTATATTTAAGTTTAAATAGACAATAGGTAAATGGACAATAGAAAGAATTCTTTCTAAAAATAAACATTGTGTATTTCAAATTAAAATCAAGAATTATAGAGACTCTTTGAATGACTAGAAAAGTGTTTCATCTCAAGTAAATCTCAAATTCAAATCTTAGTATTGACAATAGTTATTTTTCCTTTTCCTTTGTTATATTATTTTAAAGATTTAGGTTTTTACTTATCTACTCTCCATCTCTCAAACTTCTATGTAGGGTACCTTCCTATGACTAAATCTTATCACCCTTCATGTTTGGCCCACTACATTTAGCACGCATACTCAATAAAATTTGAACCTTTCCCACAATTCACATGTTCATCCGCCCTGCTGTATAAACTAATTGATTTGAAGAGCGACCATCCACCTTGTGAATACCGACTCCGCCGATCGGCGTCCCTTCCAATGCGGTGTTCGTTACTGGGGAATTTGAATACTGTATCGTAAGGAAACAGAAACGGCGCTTGGGAAATGGTCCCCACCCTTCAGGCTGATTGCGCCTCTTGCCGCTGGGGTGTCCCCGAGAGAGAAAAATCGCGTGATGGGTTGCGGAGATTTGCGCAGATGGAGGTAGATTTTGGGTGAGAGAGACGCGCGGCACGAATTGGAGCGGCAGGGCACGGCGCTTTGGACGGGAGTGGTGCGCAGATCGGGTCGTGATGGCGCTCGTTGTAGCACAGCCCAAGTGTAAGACGTGCGACAAGACTGTTTACTTGGTGGATCAGTTGAGAGCCGATGGCGTTTTGTACCACAAGGCTTGCTTCCGGTGCCATCACTGCAAGGGGACGCTCAAGGTCGTTGCGTAGAATGAGTTTTTGGCTGGCATTCCATGCATTGTCAAAGCATCGTGGCTGGTCAGCACATGAATTGCGACTCATTCTTTTGTATTGATATTCCATGGTGTGTTCTTTGTGCATTTCAATGAGTCGACCAATCATCTTTAACCAATAAGCAATCAAATGGTAAAATTCGGTAGCCATGTCTGCAGGACTTGGTCGAATTTAGAGGTTTGGCGTTGTCCACATTCTCGGCAATGGTTCATCGTAGTATTTCCTGTTACGTCCTTTTTTTCTGGGGGAAGACCAAATCGACGTCCACACTCCTCAACGTGTTCGTAGGTCAGGAGCCATTTTAGAATTTGGAGTTACTAAAGGAGAAGTGAAATTCTCGTAGGGAGGCTCGATGTTGTCTAGGATTTGTGGATCTCCCTTGGTGTGTTGGAATGTCTTGGCAGTGTACGAGATTGCAGTGATTAGGTCTTCTCTGTTCCGTAAGAGATGGTATGCATCGTATCCGAAATTCAATTCTGCTAGATAATTCCTCTATATTGCAGAGACGACGAGCGTTGCCATGTCACACTCATATGCCACTTCGCTTTGCACAGTTAGGGAACTATGCATCTTTGGAAGGAGTTCTCTACTGCAGACCCCATTTCGACCAACTACTCAAAACGACGGGGAGCTTTGAGAAGAGCTTCGATCAACAGGGTGAGCACCACTTGCCTCTTGAGCTCATAGATTCGATTTTGCACACTCAGGAATTCAGTTGAGTATGTGTCTCGCATCTTAGTTTTTTCACTCTTTTTATTTATCTTGTTTAGTTTTTCAATGAACGCATTGTCTGTTAGAGTTAAAATTCTCATTGCACATGTGTTCTGATTGAGCAGCTTCTATGAAAGGGCAATCTGGTTACGAGAGGTTTCAGGTGTGCCTCTTTTGTTCTACTCCACTGTAGTGCTTGAACAGAATATTTTTGTAACAGAAATACATATTCGTAGCTTCTTGTTGCGTGGTTCTGATGGATTGCGATGGTTGTATTGCAACCTCGCAATTGTCCAAGTTATCATTTTCATGCATTCATGTATTAACATTTTTAGGCCTTGGATGTTGGAGAACAAGACGCCTTCCAAAGGTTCGACCCAGTTTGTTGGTACACAAGAAAAATGTGTCGCGTGTGGCAAAACTGTCTACCCCCTTGAAAAGGTGAAATCTTACCACATCCTCATGCCTGCTTGAGGATTGTAATCCTTGGTGATAGATTGAGTGAGGCGCTTCTCGGTAGTTTCCGTTCCAACTCACGGATCCGTCTATCTGATGCCAGACAACTGTGGAAGACCTGCCGTATCACAAGTCCTGCTTCAAATGCGCGCATGGTAGTTGCACCATAAGTGTATCCAGCTACGCGTCTTTAGAAGGAAGGTTATATTGCAAGCATCACTATTCTCAACTCTTCAAGGAGAAAGGAAACTATAGCCGGCTTACAAAACCGCCTGCAATGAAACCGACGACAAAGAACGTAAGCATACCAAGTCTTTGCTCTCTGAATTCATTGAATCTCTTCTGTATCATTTACTAATGCGGTGACTGGCATTGTAATCTTGTGTTTAATCGCAATTTCTTTTTTTCTTAGGATGTTTCTGGTTTGAACTTTCCTACTTTGAGAGATCCAGAGCCTAAGTGTGCTCACAGCTTATTATTTACATAAGTGAGCTGACATTTGAACTGTATTTGCATTGTCTCCAGGACATCTTTGCTTATTCCTGGGTTTAATGCAGGAGGGAGGACGGATGTCACTGCACTTCGAATCCAAGCAAAGTCAAGAACAGGTCGGAAGATATACTGCAGATACGATAGACCAGTAGAGGAAATACGTGCTCAACTCAAACGATACAAACTCATAAGAATGCTATTTGCTATTAAGTGGCACTTACAATACTTTGGTCTTTGAGGCGACAGTATCAGGGTGATGCAGCATAGAAAACATTTCAATTTATTTATTGTAGTGTAGAAGTCATGTTCATCCATCATGGACATTGCACTATACCCACTTCCTTATCAATCATAGTTACAATCGGTTTGAACTTGGAAAGTGTTTTCTTTTTCGTCTCAGCAATTGCGGATGTAAAAAGTAAATTTACGAAAACGTTGCACTTAACACCATCATAGTTATTGTTATTAGTAGTATCATTATTTTTCATAATGCCTGATTTTGAACAAATATTAAATTCAACGCCAGCAATTGAAAGGGCTTGCATAACATGGTGGGCTAGAAATCTACAACTTGAGAGCCGCTATTACTTCAGGCTTGAAATCAACCCGGAGTCCAAGCACGCGGCGCACTTCAGTAGGAGTGAGGCGCCATGTCATTGGACCGGAGTTCTCACCCCAATAATCTAGAATCTCCGACACCCTTTCCAAGTTCAGGATCGTAGCCATCTGTGTAAGACGAGCAAATTTGTCACGGACTGTTCGTTGAGTCATGGCTGAGAAATGACCAACCAGTGTACGAGCATCTCGGTCCAACTGAAGACCTCCGAGTTGATTGAACCTCTTTTGCATCATTAGAACCTCCAGACGTTTCACTAAGGTATCAATTATCAGATGCACCAGCGAGTCATAATTGCTTGTTGTCAGAAGTGGTTGCAGCCAAGTCACTGTGACATCAACTGCGTGCAATAGCTTCTGTACCCATGGATCATTCACCTCATTCTCAGCATACTGAGCTTCTGTTAATTCATAGCTTACAGTTCCGACCTGTCATCAAATGCGAATAATCAGCAAGCCTCAATAACAGTTGATAATCGATGACGAAGTAGATTTAGAACCTATTTTCCGAGGCGATCATCGAGTCCGAAAGAAAGAAAACCAAGTAGGTTCGCGAGGAGGTTCTATTCAGGAGTCTTCAATTGCAAAGCACGAGACCAAGTTTTAAAGCAAGTCAGAAGTACTGCTCATGCTTGATGTTTCTCCATATTAAGAATGGATTATATGAAAGCCAATAAAAACTGAGAAGATAAGACTGTAAAGAGAAAGGGGTCAAAGATCCTGACCACGTCTAAAAGATTTCGCAATCTCGGTACAATGCTGTTGGCCAATTGCTCCAATCCTTGATTTCCAATGTGCCTGTAACGGTTTCCAATGTCCTCTAGTTCCCGAAGAGCAGATTTCACCTTCTCCCTTTCTCCAGGTGCTATGAGTGTCTGAGAGCAATCACGCACGCGCGGTCAGACCGGAGCTTTCCTTTTTTCAGAAATCCCAAGCTCATATAACATTCTTTAATTTAATGATCTCCTTTACAGTTCAACATAACATAATCACCGGCAATCAGAACTAGAGTGGTTCTGTTCCCGATTCCTATACCTCCGGTTCATTCAAGCTTCAAATTTTAAACAGAACTACAAACTCTGCCATGATTGATTCAACATCAAAATGCTTAATTTCTACATTAAACGCATAATCAATAACCAATCTGCATCATCTTCTTGACTCCAAATCTTGATATTAAAACGGATGCCATGAATCTGGACAACAGCAATAAATTACCGGTATAACAGATTTTCTGTATGGCGAAGATTTCAAAAACAACTTGCTCTAGTGATTCGATTAGCTGTTTAAGGTCAAGTGTAAGTATTGTAATATTCAGTCGTAAATCAAAGTAGTTACCTCAAAAGCATGCTCCTCAATATCATGCTTAAGCTTCACAACATACTCCGCACTAACATCAACGTTGTTCAGAGCTGCGGAGACCTCAGCGCCCGCCTTCTGCACGGCTACTCCTTGAGAAAATAGCTTCAGAAACAGACTTGGTTCCCGAATCTTGCGTTGCAAAGCCTCGCTGAAATCGTTGTTTAGCAAAGAACCAGTGTGGTTAATGATCTGCTGCACAGATAGTAGACTGGAGGTCGAGATCGCTCGCCTCGTGCAGCTCTGCAGGACGTAAAAAACGTCATCAACCATAGAAGTAGTCATCCCGTCTGCCACAAGCTCGTCAATCTGGATAGCCTTCTTCACGTTCTCGCTCATGAAATACTCCTCCAGAATAATGTAGTACCCTACCAACTCCTGCACTGAGAGGCCAAAGCTTCCAGCCTTGAAACTGTTAGATTCCCTCGGGCTCAGTTGCCCGCTTGTAGCCCCAGCCTCTTTCATCTTTGTGCTCATGAAGTGGAAATAGTCCTCACTTGTCTGACTCAACAGCATCATCTCCTCCAAACAAACTTCGATCTCTCGTGGATCCGGTCCTTCTGGGGGGGCAGCAACAGCCAATAAATTCATGTCGAAATTCATATCATGCTTAGAATGGGCAGCAATATCTTTTGTAAGCTTCAGAAGCTTTCTCTGTTCAATGTACTTCTTGATGATTAAAGAACCCCTTGCATCGCATTCCTCCTGAAGCTCCACCAAAGCCAAAGCAACTCCTTCTTCCCCCGCCAAATCAAATAAAAGGTCTTCGTTCTCCTCTACCGCAAACGCAATATCCTTAAAAATGTTGTTCAAAATTCCAACAAAATCCGCTGTTCCTGCACCTCGCCCCCCATCTGTGGATCCCAAAGCCTCGATCAAAACTTCATAGTCGCCACGCGCTCGCATAGCAACCACCTTCCTCAAATAAGCTACATAGGAACGAAGCCCTTCCTCCTGTAATCTCAAAGGAGGATACAGCTTCACAAATCGCACCACATTGTCGTGATCCTTGGATTCAACGGCTGCCGCGAGCTTCTTTCGAAAAATGGCCTCTAACTTCTGTTTCGACTCAAACAACTGCCTTCGCTGCTCACTCTCAGTCTCCCTCCCGGGGGCGTTGCCCAAACCCGGAGCAGACTCGTGGAACTCCGAATCGAGCTGCAAAAACGTCTCCACATATTTGGCGGCCGTCTCGTAATCTTCAACCTCCAAAGCCTGCTTCACCCCATCGATGCAATTGGTGCGATCCACTATAGCATCAATCCTCGCAAGCGTCGTTTGCACTCGCGACTGCGCCAGATCCAGCTCCCTAACTTTGCCACTCACGTGATCCGCTAAATCGCAAGTCGACGACACACTCCGCAACATCTGCTCAGCATCCGATCTCACAAACTCTAGCACCTCCGCAGACTGATACAACCCCCCGAGCTTCTTCTCCAGCCCATGCCGCTCCTCCAGCAGCGCCTCCAGCTCGTTGTCAATGCTCCTCTCATAAGCTATGCACTCGTGCAGCAGCCGCGTCATGGCCCCAACATCCGTAAGCGTTCGGATCTGTTCCAGCATGTTCACTGCCGGCGCTGAGGCAGTGAACACCTCCTCCATCACCATCTCTAGGGTTTCTCTTCAGATCAGGAAAATTCCTACATACTCTTCCAATATGGGACTGCACGAAGCCTTTCCCCCCAAACCCACCTCCACAATCTCTCGAACCAAACCCTAGGGAAATCGCCGATGCAATGCGATGCACACTCCCTGCAACCACGTCCGATTCGAACAGTAAGAATCTTCTACTGATAATGAAAACCGCATGACGCACCTCCGTTACTAACCAACAAGGTTCCGCATCCGCCAAATCTACTGCGCAAACAGCCGGAACTTTCCCATCGTGACAATTAAAACCATCCCAAACACATACCCAATGCTCGACGTGCACAAACAATCCTCGGAAAGCGGGCAGTATCGAGTTCAATCGCTAGAACCCACTTGGAAGAATGGACACCTTAGCCTGCTCTAATTCAATGTCTAATAAAAGGATTAAGCGGTGTTGATAATGAGCTCCAATCAACAAGTCCTTTTCACACATTTTTTTCATTTGCCTATTGTGCTCGATGTCGGAACCCAGATCCCTGAAATCGCGGATGACCGTTCCATGTAGAATGGTCCTCCGTCTTTAAGTTCAACCTGTTTTTCATTCCGTTACGAAGGCGATAATATTCCTGTATCAACGCATGCAATGTGCTGCAAATCCGAAGTGGTTCTATTGACTGACGCAGACCAGCGCCGAGAATATTTCAATGCCAGGGTTGGTGTGGGTCAAAGTTTTGAAAAATTAGGGAGATTGTGTGGCAATGTCGAAGTGGGGAAGCGATGGGGTAACGATAGAAATTTACATCCGAGGAAGGGGGCCGATGCACAAGCTCAAGCTGCCGTGGGAGGGATACGAGAAAAACCAGGTCGACCTCGAGGGATTGATGCGCAAGTACCGATTGAAGATCTTGTATGCCTACTCGCTCACGCACGGCCGCGGAGTGCAGCAGCACTACAGCCCGAAAACAGGGCTGTCTCTCATCTCGTACTCTGGCAAGCAGGATTCAATCATCCGTTATGACGCAGATCTCAAGGTAAACTGTCCGAATTTGCTTTCGATAGGCTAGTCGCATCTGCTCCATCATCCAACGCTGTCAATTCTGTGACGGTGACGCAGCCGACGATCGGTGTCGTGGTGAGCCGGTACCCGGTGGCGGCAGCGTTAGTGGCGTTGCTGGTGGTGGGGACGACGACGTCGCAAGCGAGATGGGTGGTGAGCATGCAGCAGGCTCTCGGAGGTCGGGCTGCGTGGATCGCATGCTTTGTGGTGATGATGCTCTCGCACTTGGCTCGCCGAATCATGACCAAGAGGACGCGCAAGCACAAAACTACGACGACGACGACGAAGACGATGTGATGGTGGAGCGAGCATCGGACATGCAAACCCTAATTCAACACCCCCTTGTGAACCCACACACCCCCCCCCCTTTGTGATGTGTTGGGTGAGCACATTCTTGATTGAGAGAAGGAATATTGTGGCTAATTTCTATAGTTTTTCAAAAGAATTACGTAGTATTGCTTTTGTACAATGATCACACGAAGAATGGTATATTTGTTGTTCCTTGAATAAATATGTGAAGTGTTAAATTTGTGTTTGTTTGTTTTTGCTGTGTGTTTAGTAGTAAATGTTGTGTTTAGGTTCTCTAAATTTATATTTAAAGATTAATTTTTTCTTTATTTAAACAAATTTAAAGATTGTTTGTGTTATTTAAGAACTAGTGTGTCGTCTTGCCTTATATAAATGTTTTCATAATTTTTAGCATTGGATGATTTTACTTCAGTAAAACATTTAAAGCTGTTGCTTGATTATTTTGGTGATTTTGATCACAAGAATATTAGAAAAAATTAAAAATTAAAAGTATTATTATTTTAGTGCACAAATTAATTTTAAAAAAAATCATAATAAATTTTATGTAATTCTTTCATTCACTTTAAAAAGCTTATTAGTTTCATTTAAGGAACCTTGTATTGTAAATTCATTCTAATTTTTTCTTTTCATATAAATACAAGTTTTATTAAGTGTACATGTAGTGTATGGCACAAGCAGGGTGTCCATATACCTCCTTTTTTTTTAATGTTTTATAAGCAATATACTACATATTCAATCTATTTCAAGTTGCTTCTTTTTAATTTTATTTACTTATATTTATTTACTTTTTATAGATATCTAAAATAATTTTATTAATTTGACATGTGATTTTTTTGATTTTCAAGAAGTAATAATAATATCAATGTTTTTAGTTTTTACTAAAAACTAGAGTTTTAAAATTATTGATCTATAGTATTATAGGTATTATTTCTTCATTAAGGTAATTTACCTAGCATAATATTATATTCTTTAATATATTCTATGTCTTTATAATAAAATTAAAAATATAAAATTAAATTAAAATTTAATTGTAATAAATACTTAAATTACTTAAGTAATAGAAGTAAATAAAAGTAAGTAGAAGTAGGTAGAACATGTTAAAAAAAGTTAATAAACTCTAAGAAAGTTTCTTAGATACAAATCAGATCTTTAGATTCCTATAGATATCTCACATGGCTATTAAAATATATTCTACAAGTTTTTTATTTTTAAGATGATGTGTTAAAAGTGACTTACAACTTAATGCTTTGGCCTTTAATCTTGTGGTCATTAGAAAGCTTCTACAAGGTCTTCTTTGTAGATAGTATACACAGAGGCAAAGGTGAGGTCATTCTTAGTCTTCTCAAAAAAGTTCTTGTATTCTAATCTTAGTTCTAGATTCTCTATCTACCTTATACTTCACTATAGCCAATATAATAATTTTCCATCTTATATTTATTTCTTCTCTACCTACTTTCTCTTTTCTTTAGTAAAACATGAATGTATAGTCTTTTGAATTTTGTTTAGATTTATACCCTTTATAGCCATTTAATATTTTAAAAAAAATATTTAGATCAAGCTATTAGAGTATTACTTGTGTATTCAAAGATAGTAAAAGAAACAAGTGTAGTAATTGCCTTCTTGCTTTGATTTATCTTCCTACACAAATACTTCATGCCAACAAAATTTTATTCATTGTATCCATTTCTTTTATTTTTTTAGTAGCTAGATGTCAACATAAATAATTTTATTCTTTTTTTTCAATGTAATTCTAAATAATATAGAATTCTTTTGAAGTAGTTGTTAATCTCAATTATAATAGATAAGAAATAACTTGTTGGATACTTCAATAAATTTATGTTTTTCATGATTCTTATTACTATCTCTACAATAGTCTATAATTGTACTTGCATATTACAACAATTCTGCAAATAGCTAAGGTATTCAATTTTTTGTTGTTTTTTGGTCTAAAAGAAAAAAAATCATAATTAATGGAATAAAATTTTTTATAATATCAATGTCTTATTTGCCATCTTTCCTAAACTTTTTAATAAGGCTTTTATTAGACTCAAGTGTTATACTAAACTTGTGTCAAGAACAAGAATTTAAAGAATATAAATAAAAAAATAAGATGTATGCCAAATTGAGATAATAAAAAAAATAAAAAAGTACATATATTCAAAAAGAAACAAGAATAGATATTGCCAAAGACAAGAAGTTTAGAGACTCTTAAAATAAGGCTAAAAACAAGAAAAACATTGACAAGAGTGAAAAAGATCTCATTCTAGCCTTTGTATATACTATCTTATTAAGAAGATATGTAGTGGCATTCTATAGGTCATTTATCATGTGTCCAATTTATGAGACATGAATCTAACTTGTAAGATACGTTTCCAACATGTGTGCTACATAGACAACTTGCACAATAAGAAGCCAACTTGAAAAAGCAAGTGGTCAATGTTTGGAACACCTGATGAACTTGTTGGCCAAGTTTTCAATCTACAAATCACCAACAAACATATGGAAAGTCAAATCTCAGTCTATGAAGGTTCTAAGAAGCTTATCTACAAGATATTATTAAATTTACATATTTCTACTTATTTCTTTTAAGCTTCCTAATTCTAAATAAAAACAAAATCCTTCAAATTCTATGAAGTCAATTTAAAGATAAGATTGGAAGTAGTTTATAATCTTTAATAATTTCTTAGTAGATATTAGTATATTAATTTAAGAATATATATAAACATATGTATACCAATTTTATATTAAACATATATGTAAAAATATTATATATATATATATATATATATTGAAGCCAAAATTCTAAAAGTATTTATTATTCGTTTAATCAATAATTTTAATTTTTTTAATTAATTAAAAATAATTAATAATAAAATAATATAAAACCATTTACAAGTAAGTATTTAAGAGAGAAATAAAACTAGAAATGTACAAGATTAATGATTATGGTTTTGTGGATTAAATTCATACGAAATGTCAAAAATTATTATTAAAAGAAGATAAAAAGTTTTTCACCATAAAAATTTGAAATTTAAAAATTCAAAACAATCACTACAATTAAAAAAATAAAAGATGAATTTTTTATTAATTTTATTGTAATAAAATGTAAATGTAAAAAAAATTATGAAATTTTGTAATAATCGAAATTTATATTAAAATATTATTCTAAAGATGCAAAGTAAATATTAAATGTTAAAGATATATCTTTAGTAATTCAAAGTTTTATAACATGAAAAATTTACAAATATGTGTATATTTTGTGATATTAGAAAAAAACTCATATAAGATATTTTATGTTCTTATTTGGATATTAAAAATAAATATTATATTGATGTTACAAATAAACATTACTCAAATAAAATGTGTGTATATATATATATATATATATATATATACATTTTATTTTCAATTTTAAGTAGTACAACCTTATCACAACTACAAGGAATAATTATTTTGGATTTAAGATTCATATTTTATTTCTTTTTATATTGAATTTTTAAAGCCATCAAAATTTATAAAAAAATATTTTTTTTTGTGGATAGATTTGTAAACATATATAATAATTTGTGAGTTTTAATTTAATCTAATTTTAATTTTTTTAATCTTGTATTAGGACAAGAAGGTTTGAGGTTCAATTCTTTTAAGACCAAAGAAAATTACCCTTTATATTTTGAATTACGTAGTTAAAATAAAAATTCTTTTCAATTTTAAGTAGTACAGCCTTATCACAATCTCAAGGAAGAACAATATTTAATATAAACAAATGTTGGAAGCAAACAGTTAAACTAGGACGAAGTTATAGGGGCTTCTAGATTTCTAATGATTTGAAGAGTCTTGCAGAATCGTAAAGTGACGCACTTTGCTCGAAAGGTATCGAAATTTCTTTAAAATTATAACGTAAGATTCCATGGATGAAATTGACAACTCTTTATCTAGGTTTTTAGACAAAGCACAACTGTAAAAAATCATTTGTTACTGCTATTTTGTTTATTTTATCCAACAGACATTTTTCATTTCCAACTAATCCTTTGATATGGTAACATATTATCCATTACCCCACAAATGGTAGTATTAAAATTCTTTGTCAAATACAATTACAACACCTTCAACTTGTCATAAAACTTGTCTTTTCTTAATATTCCATGTGATTCAGCACTGACTTTTCAAACAGTTACGACCATACTCAAATGTCTACAATCAACAAGCTTCACTTGTTCCTTTACTTTAGGAACTGTAAATAATCATATAATATTAGTGATTGTAAGACTTAATGAAGGTAACGGTGACACGCTCAGTCGACATGCAGTTTCTCGAGAGATAAAGTCTTCTGTTGATTAAAGTTGATTAGCTGGAATCAAACATAAAGAGCAGAGCTCATGTGCCGTGAGTAAATGCACGAAATGTGCATTGCATCATCAAGGGAAACATCCATATGAACAGCCATGCATATGTATATATACATATATAGACACACATACAGTGTTGGATGCTTCAGGCCTTTTTCAACAAATCCTACCTTCACACGCAATGTTTTTCCCTGCCGATATTACACTGATTCCTAGCTCTACTTGATCAGCACCACCGACTCATTTCGGTGAGCACAGAGACGGCTTTTGTAACTGCTTAAAAATCCCTTTGAAATGGGACGAAGACTTCTTTATGTCACACACCGCACTAAGCCAGAAATTCCATCCTTCTCAAGATGCCCTCCGAAACTGTGCACTGTACAGAAGATCTCATCACAATGCACATTAAGTCAAGTCTTGACAGCACTCTCATATAACCCTCGTGGAAATTGGAAATAGACAGCTTCTTGCTGCAGAGCAACTAAAATGTTGGCCATCATAATTTTATGCCCTGCAAGATAACAAAAAAATAACATACGTTTAGTCATTGACAAGTATGAAGTGGATCACAGTGCAAGAAGGTTGAAGTCACAGTTGTTTTTCCAGATTGCTTGACTTCGACAAGCATGTTGCTTACGTTTTATTTGCATCAGTGCTCATGACTCCCGTAGCAGAGGACACGGTCTCTGATACTTTCTGGACAGTGTGAATAGTTCCAGAGACAGCACCAGAGATTAAGTTACGAGCACGTTCTTTCAAGCCTGGACCTTCTACGGTTATGACATCGGTGTCGCTTTGTGGTTTCATCAGCACCTGCGTTCCAGAATCAGAAATTCTTGAGTCACTAAATTTTTGTGAGGTAAACAAAGTTTAGGTACAAAATAGTAAAGTGAATGCGTCTACGCTACTTTTGTTGGTCTTAATGTCCAGGACCTTGATCCATCCTTCGTCTTTTGCGTTGAAATGTTTGTAAGCTTCCGGAGCTTCACCCAGACCTAGGATATGTGTGATGACTGTGGTTGGATCCAATTCTCCAGATTGCACAAGTGGCAGTAATGTAGGCCTGTGAAAACACACTTCTAAAAAGTGAACAGCTTCAAAAGATGCAATATCTATTAATCTATTTCCAATCCGTGATAGGCAAACTGAGGTCAACAGCTTCTGTCCACAAAGCTGTAATGCTGGAAGTTGTACCGGCACCTTGAGGCGGAAAGCATATAGCCCGTTCTAAGTACGTGAATTCAAAGGAATTGTTCTACGTTCAAAGAAATGACAAGATAGTGATACGCAAGTCATGTATTTTACCAATATTTCTGCACAGGTGTTTGACCTCCTGCCATGGACAAACCCTTCTCCATGAAGGCTCCAAGGTTGAAATGGCTGCAAATCAAAACCTCCTCAAAGATTAGAATCCACAGATCCTAAATCTATGAGGTTTGGAACCAGTTCATTTGAGCAACTCTTACATTCTACTCATTTGATCAACCAATGCAGACGTCAGGTGAAAGGAATCGTTGAATGTTTGTCTGCATCCTCAATTTTGTGATTCCAAACATTTGCATTAAAAACCAACTTACTTGGCGTAACCAGCATAAGCACCCACAACACCGATACGCCCTCCCTTGCGAACAGCATAAATACACTCGTTTATGACTTCAGTACTGTCAGTCTCCAATCCAATCATAACCTCCAATTTATGGAGAGGATTCTGCAAAGAGAAACGCTTGATAGTTACGAAACCAGAAATTGTAGATTAACTAACAGGCACAGCTGAAGCACACGGAATGCAGTTTTTAATTGTGCATAACTTCGATATAGATCTTATGTGTGCAGAGATTTGTTTTCTTCACTCACCGACACATAATGGACCCCAACGGCTTCAATAGCAACATCGGGACCGTGTGAAAACAAGTTGCGGAGCTCTTCGACCGTTTTCTTCTCCTTGAAATTTATAGTCTCCAGGCCCGGCACTTTCTTCTTAGCGAAGTCCAAGCGGAAAGGTTGTTCATCGATTATGACCACGCGGGATGCTCCCCGCTGAAACGCACATTGAGCAGCCAGTATACCAACTGCATTTCAAAGCATAAAATTCAGGAACGTTTCCCACAATATAAGCCAAAAAGCTGCCTCATTTGTCACAACAGGGAATTCAGGGATAAACAAAAATCGAGTATCCCCAGCACAAGTCCAGAAAACCTTCTAGCTGAGAATACCGACCAGCTTATAAACTGAGGGACGAGAAAATTATCAAATTCAGCAAAAGTAACATTAAATCGTGACCCTCAAGACAAGTGGATTTTACATACAATCGAATCGTTTAAATACCTGGTCCACAACCCCAGATTGCAACATTGTCACCTTTCCCAACACGGCCTAACTCATTCGCGTGCCATGCGGTAGGTAAAATGTCAGACAAGAGAATGACATGCTCGTCGTCGAGCTCTGCCGGAACCTTCAAGCAGTTCCGATCAGCTGCATTTTCACAACCAAATTGCAAATCAGATTTATAAAGTAGAAACTCCACACGACAATCTTCCGACTCTCGAAATAGCTGACTCTATGTAAGACGATTGGCATCAGCCTACTGACTGAAAGGGCGACAGGGGTTTACCAAATGGAACGCGCACGAACTCAGCTTGACCACCATCCCATCCGCCGGTTAAATGAGAGTAGCCAAACATGCCACAAGTTCTGCAAGACGCGAGGACTATATCAAACTTCTAGACTAGAACCAGACAATCTCTTGCACGGAGGAGTACACAGCACTGTATTGGTAAACCTAACAGAAACACCACTGCAATTGAAAACAAAAACCGTGTGCCTGCATGGCTTCCGTAATCCGAAGCTTAAAAGCATGAAAAAGAGCCACAAAAACCTTCAATATACCTGTCCTTGTACATCACGTCCTGTTCCCAAGATGGATTGGTGGAATCGCAGCCAGAATAGTTTTCCAATTTGCAGGCTGAACACTGCCCGCACGCAATGTCGAACGCGGCGACTACACGGTCACCTAGCTCAAGACCACGATCCAGTTCTCAGCACTCGTCGAGAAGACCGAGCCGGTTCAACTCACAATTTATCAGATCGTTGAACCTATTGTTAAACCACAACTGACTGCCGAGATATGAGTGAGGTTTAATAACAATCTAGAATGCGAGCTTAATTCACCTTCTTTAATATCTTTAACCTCAGGACCCACAGCTTCCACCACGCCCATGAACTCATGACCAACAATGTCGCCACTCTTCATTCCTGGCATGGCGCCCATGTACATGTGCAGGTCGGAGCCACAAATGGCGGTTGTGGTGACACGAAGAATCACGTCTGCCTGCAGATGATTAACTCAACAAGTCACGCTTTACTCCAGTTTCCATTTACGTTACCCATTGCAAAATCCCTTGTCCACAATTGAATCGTATGTTTGAGCCACTGTGAATTTTATGCGAGTACATAAAATGTAGCTGCTCTTTGCTCCAAACCACACAATCATACCGTCGAATTCTTAACCCACATGCAACCCACATGCCTAGAGGAACAATGAGCGTCTTACTCACCGGATTTGTGATCAAAGGTTTTGGGCGGATCTTCACTTTCATGTCCATTTTCCCGTGAAACTCTACAACGCGCATGGGCTGTGACTCATCTTTCTTGGAGGTTATGGTGCACGTTTGCGTTTCCAAGTGCTCTGGGTTCTTGAACATGGTAGAATACGTCTGTACATCCTTGGGTTCGATATGTGCCGAAGCCATATTTGCTCGTCTTGCTTTTTGCACGTCAAGACGAAAGACTTATCAACACCAATTCTTTGCGTTCTTCTCCTCAAAACTTCACGATCCAGTCACGATACCTTTTCTGTACACCTATATGACAGAAAGCTCGACCAAGACTTAGCCAATTGTAAAACTCAACGAGAAGCCTACAACTCACATTCAAATTTTGCAGTCTACACGCGATGAAAATTACAACAGTAGGCAAGTGCTCCAAAGCACGCAAAAAAAACCACATGCAAGTCAACACACTAAATATACCACAAGACAGCACTGCAAATAAGCAAACACATCACCCACGTCGAAACCGCAGCTTATCCAGAAGAACAAACACTACAATCTAAACACAACAATGTCAACGACGGAACTGAACTCCTACGCTGTAACGAAAGAACCCACCTCTCGGTCTCGAAAATCCTAAGCTTGTTAGTTCAGCTACAGTAATCAAAACTTACAACACGAGAAACGTAGGAAGAGGGCAAAATATATAGGAAGACCATGGAATGGACTGGGAAGGAAAGAGACAACGGCCCACAGATCTCTCCCACACCAGATCCGCTCTTTGGAACAACTGCAGATTGCGTTGCAATCCACTTGTCTGCCGCTCGTGAACAGCAAAGCGCTGGATGCTGGATCCGCCGCCTCGTCTCTTGCATGAGCTGGGCTAACTGATGTATGGAAAGTATATGGGACTGTGCGGCGTGGCGCTGCATGGTGGATTGCCACGTGGCGGACGGAGGGGCAGGGAAAGTGGCGAGTGCCACCTTAGCCCCGTTTCTCAGTTGGAGTCCAGTTGGACTTTCCACGTGGGAAATAGCTTGTGGTTTCTAGAAGCAAAGATGAAGGTGGCTTTGTATGAGAGTCACTTACGTTGAAGGAAATTCTCAACGAGAAGCTTCAACGATTCCTTCTAATGGGCGAAGCTCTATTTTTAGTGTTAAAATCTTTGGATATTAGTTAAAGCTGACTTGCAAAGTTTTTGAAATGGAAAAATATTATGTGGAGCCTACATGGAGTCCATTAGGAGGTTTTTTTTTTTAGATACGATGTTAATAAGAAGAATTGATCATTTTTCTGACTTTCAACAACATGCTCTGATGGTGTATCTAAATGTGAATACTCCATTGAATTTTCAAATAATAGTATCACTAATTACATCAAAATCATAAACCACATTTTCTTTATATCTATATATATATATATATATATATATTGAATTTTATTATCTTGTTGATGCAAATGCCACAAAAGAATCACCATGTAAACAATAAAAAGGTTTTAATTTGTATTTTTTATTATATATATTTCACATCTCTATATATACTTTGCAGAATCACAACTCAATTCTTTTTTTGTTAAAAATAATACTTAAATAGTTAATTTAAAGTTTTATCAAAAATAAATATTAAATATCCTATATCTATTTTTTTTAACAAACAATTCAGAACTTTTTAAGTATATTACATGCTAAAGTCATAATAATTTTAGAACATGGATTAGCTTTAAATGTAATTTCCAACATTAACCAAGACCTAATTAGCTTGTATATTTAGCTTGCATACAACATCTTTTTTAAATTAATTTTATTTGATGTCTTTTACTTTTTTTCTATTTTAATCATTTATTAAAGTCTTTCTTAAATTCTTATGTCTCTTTAAATGACACTTTATACTATAAACATACATAATTATTTAGATAAGAAGTATTAGATAGAAAATAAATGTATGTAGATTTGATTATATCTTATAGATGATCTTCTTAGAAGCATTATAAATGCAAATTTGACTTTATATATATTTGTAGTTGATTGATAGGTTGAAAATTTGATTAACAAATTGGTCATATATTATATATGTTCAAGATTTGTGGTACAAGTTGGCCATATGGCGCATATGTAGGAAACTTGTCTTATAAATTAGACATGTGTAAGAGGTCCTATAGAACATTGTCATGTAATTCATAGTTAGATAATATATATGGATGCAAGAATGAAGCCTTCTTCACTTTTGTCAACAAATTTTTTATCCTTGGTCTTGCTTTAAGAATCTCTAATCTTTTTGTCTTTAGCAATAGCCATTCTAATTTTGATACCATACTATCTTTGAGTAAATATCTACTCTTTTCTAGTGACACAAGAATATATTGAGGATTTTATTATTTTTAATTTATATCCTTAGTAATTTAAGAAGAATGCTAATTTGTTGTTGTTTTATTTTAGAAATAAGTAAATTATTTGACTTCTTTAATTATCTTATAAAAGTTGTAGATTATTATTATAGCTATACATATTTATTCCAATAATTATTTAGATAATTTGAATAAATAAAAGTAAACAAAAATAGTTAAATTTTATAATATCTTGTGAAAAAGCTTTTTAGAAGCTTTATAGATATGGCTTTGCCTTTATATATGTCTATAAGTGATTGATAGATTGAAAATTTAGCTAATAAGTTGGCCATGTATTGTACATGTTGATGACTTGTAATACAAGTTGACTATGTGGTACATACATAAGAAGTTTGTCTTGCAAGTTAGACACGAGTCTTGAAAGTTGGATACATATTTGAGGTCCTATAGAATGTCGCTATATAGCTTCTAATTAGATAATATATATGGAGGCAAGAGTGAAGTCTTCTTTACTCTTACCAATTCTTTTCTTACTTCTAGTTTACTTTCTAGAGACTCTAGTTTTCTACTCTTTGATAATAGTCATTCCAATTTTTTTTCAAATACACATATTTATTTATTTCTTTTTTAATATCTTTTTTTAAAAGATCTCTCACTTGTTTATTTACATTCTTTGAATTCTTATCTTTAACATATTGATAAGATTTACTTATTATATTAGAGCTTTTTATTTTTATTTTTATTTAAATTAGATTATTTTTTTAAAAAAAAATAAGACATAAATATATTAGAAGTTGTAGATTACCTACTTCTAATTTGATATTATTATTAAAATCTAATTGTCTTTAAGTTCTCTTTTTTACTTATCTTGAGTGAAATTAGACATCTTTTTTTTATTTTATTATTACAGCCTAGGTTCTTGGAATGAAATGTGCAATAATATAAATGCAGGAGCAAATCAAGAAGTAAATTCTTGCAATGCATCAACTCAATTTACCACCACAAGGAACAACAAGATTGGCAAGATATAATATATAAAGATCATTAGAGATGCTTCAACATCTACACAAAATCATATTACTTCTCTTAAAGAAGAACATTGTTCAAGCATTAGAAAACTAAAAGTTATCTTACCTTTAAAGTTTGATCATACAAGATCTTCTTATAAAAATTAAGTGGATATGTAAACGTTAATTAATTAAAAAAAATGATAACTTAAATTAGACTACAATTTATATTAATTAATTTAAACTAATTAATAATTTATATATAAAATTTTAAAATATCTAATTAGATATAATTGATTTTTTTATACTTAAAAATATTTCTTCTATATTTAAGATTGATAATACAAGAAATTCCTACTTAAAGAATATTGAAAAAAATTAAAAGATTTATAACAATAGTAGATTGTCAAGGATATGAATCTCAAAGATGGAAATCCTCAATATACTCTTGTGTCATTCAAAAAGACTAAAAATTCACTCAAAGATGATAACATACTGAACTAGAATGGCTATTGACAAATCTAAGAAGACTAGAAAGTCTTAAAATAAGAGTTAGGATTAAAAAGGCATTGATAAGACTAAAAAAGGCTTCACTCTTGTCTTTATATATACTCTCTAACTAGGAGCTATGTGACAATATTCTATAGGACCTCCAACATGTATTGACTTTGCTAGAAATATGTCTTAACTTGCAATGCAAGTTATCTACATATGCACTACATAGTTAACTTGTTCCACAAGCTATTAACACGTGTGCCACATGGTTAGTATGTTGACCAAGTTTCTAGCCTTTTAATTAATTACAAACATGCATAAAATTAAAGCAGTATCTATAAAGCTTCTTTAAAAGATACTATGAAATTAATCTATTTTTACATATTTCTATTTAATCATATAGGTAATTATTGAAATAAATATGTATGTCCATGACATAGATTTATTATCACTTTTTATAAGTGTTGTATCTATATATTAAAAAAATACTATCAAATATACAAGTCATATTATAAGAAGATATTTTTTAATTATTAAAATTAAATTATAATTTCCAAAAAAATTATTAGTCTATTTTTATCTATAAAAGTAAAAGACAAAAGCTACTTCATTCTATAAAAGTGGACAATAATCAAGAGTTTGAAGTTAAAGAAGTCTTAGACTTACAATAGTGGCATAATAGGTTGAAATATCTTGTACATTGACGTAGATATGATATTACTTAATGCACATGGAAGTCAACCAAGAATCTTGCAAATATAAAAAATAAGATTGATGTTTTTCATCAACAATATAGATCAAATTTAAAATAAAGAATTAATTAATTTTTTACTATAAAAAAACAAGGTTTAGTGAAGATTGTATTTTTTTTTTCTATCTTTGTTTGTGATTTTTGTGTATTTGTAGTACTAAGAAGATAGAGAATCAACAACTAATAAATTTAATTCAAAAACTATTATATATTAAACTACCAAACAACATACTGAAATATTGCAACCTTATAGATGTTGTAATAGAGATAAAAATCTTCAAAAACAACATATTCTTTTTTAAAAAGATAGAAGAATACAATGTGTTGGTATCACAAACTTGGAAGAGACTTGATGTTTGGTGATATTATTGGAGGTAGGAGCCACCTTTGATGGTGTTTTAAATTTTTTATTTGAAGAAAGTTACTAAGCACTCAACAATGATTAAATATCAGGGTAGTCTTCATGTTTAGTATAGAACACTATTGTTAGATGAGAGGACCTATCAACTATCTTCAAAAAGAATAAGGATTAAAATATATAGCAAATATAATTAGTCACATTATAGATATTTTTAACATGTGATTACTACTTTTTGTAGAACTTGTTTTTAGAAGGAGGAATAATATTATAAATGTACATAATTATCTAAATTATAAGTATTAGGTAGAAAGTATATATAGATAGATTTGGTAATATCTTATAGAGAAGCTTTTTAGAAGCATTATAGACATGGATTTAACTTTGTATATGTTTGTAGTTGATTGGTAGGTTAGAAACTTAGCCAATAAGTTAGCAATATGATACATATGTTGGTGAATTGTAGTATAAGTTGTCCATGTAGCACACGTCTAAGAAAGTTGTCTTGCAAGTTAGACACGTATTGAATGTTCTATAGATTGTTGCCATGTAGCTCCTAGTTAGATAATATATAGACACAAGGTATGTTAGTAATTATAGATAGTATAATAACTATAAAGTAAGACCATAGCCACATCAAATCCTAAATTCTTCCTATGTCACAATATTCTACAAGTATAATCTCAATCTTTCTACTTTTTATATTATTCATTTTTAATTGTTAGTTCTACTTAATGAATGAAAATAAACCAAAGATCTTAACAAATTCTCATATTATGTATATCTTTTAATTTACAATTTATATATATATATATATATTTAATTTTTAAAAATTAAATTGCTCTTAAGACCCTTGTCTAATAAGTTGTAGTAGGGGCGTAGGTATTGGACTTCATAGCCAAAACAATGTTGGATTCCATTGGTGACAAAAACAAAGGACTACTCAAAGTAATCAATTTAAAACATTTGATAATAATTAATTGTATATTTTTCAAGAAAAAAAAAAAAAAAAGAAACAAACTGTAGTTTGAGTTATCAAAGGAGAATATCATTAGATCAGTAACACTGTCTCGATAATTATGAATGAGACTAATACATTCCAGTACACTTCTGTGTGTTAGACTAATGTGAAAGTACAGATCAAAATACCCAAATTTATAAGTATCACGAGTAGGAAAAAATGAATTCTGCCAACTGTCTGAGGATGGGAATGTACAGTGTCGGTGAGAGTCACACCATAATTCCCTTTGATGAAGGGCATGTATGTGAACAAGTATGCGGTGCTTGTGCAGTCTTGCAAGTATGTTCTAGATCTCAGCGTTCTGCTCCAAAAGTGAAAAGAAGTCTTCGTCAAGTTTTTGGCGGAGTAGCTGGAAAGAAATGAAGCACACCCAAATGGATGACGCTAAGCTGTTATGGTACAGATGTGGAACATGGCTCTTGTACAAGATGCCCCTACGAGGCTGTAGTAGTGAAGTCCTACAAAATTTGCTCTTAGAACTAAAGCTATTGATCGTCGCCCAACCACTCGGAGAGAGCCTGCAACACGGCCTCTCCTTGATTGGACTCTGGCAGATGAGCGTCAGTGGTGTTGGAGGTATTCTCTGGGGGCAGGACCTCCACAGGCGTAGCAGGAATCATGGACCACCAGTCGTTGACACGGTTGAAAAACTCCTCCACGCTCTTCCTTCGGAACGGCAGATCAGCAGTGAATTGATCGACGAGAACTGCAGCCAAAAGATATCGGAAGGGGACGAACCAAGAGACAATGCCAGCTGCCAGCAGCGACCAAAGTACCTCGTTCGTAGACTGCACACACCAAAGACAACCAACATGGGTGACTTTGAACGCGGCATCGTTTTGAAATATGCAGAAATCGTTGAAGATCGTCGATGGCAAATCACAGTTAAGAGAGTGAGTAAAAGGAGAGGGATCGCAGAGGAGAAGACGATCACTAACGTCCAAGTGCCGCGAGAGTGCAACGGTCCGCAGCTTCAGAAGAGCGATGTTGGCCTTTTGTAGAAAATCTTCTAATGATGTCAATGCGTCCTTCAATGCCATAATTTTTTGAATAGTGTTCGTTTCCGGTTGATCCCGAATGGTCAACTTCCCGAAATCATCCCCAAGTCGCCCTTGCACTTTTAGACCTCGCAATGCAACAAGTATTCCAGCGCATGTAAGCAGCATCGTAGGAAACAAGTAGCGGAGCCAGTTCCTGGGGGACAAGAAAAAATATTGCATTCCACTTCAGTACAATTAAGGGCAGCAAAATTTACTACAAAAATGAACGATAATAAAATTTCAACTTATTTCAAGCGGATCAGATAGATGCAACGCACATGTACACCACGCCCATAGCTGCTATTAAAAACCCTGCAGTTACTCCTGGCTCTTCCCATCGTTTCAGTTTCTGGAAGTTCACGGCAATTATTGAAAATGGTAGCATAAGCTCCTGCAAAGTAGTAAACCTCACATTAGCTTGGTGTTGGCAAGGATTTGCTTTAGGGCCACTCGTCCCTGCAGCATAGAAACTAGACAACATGTTCTACATAATCTTTTTAAATCCAGCGAAATAATCCTTTCGGAAACGAGAAGCTCCACCTTGAGAAGATCCACATTGTTAGGGATACCCTTCAGTTTAGCCCCATCAATCGTTGCCTTTGTTTTGTCAATAACGCGGCTCTGCTCCTGCCATGCTCGAACTGCTCGGTCTAGATTCGTCAAGCCCCCAACGACGTAGTTCTTACCGAGTACCAAGCCTCGTGATATGCCCCCTTTGTAAGCTTTCCAGAAGTTCTGAGACTTGGTTGAGTTCCATGTTGGCGCCGTCATCCACTTGGACAGATAGATGCTCCCATCCTCACCCATAGCATTCTGTCCAGCTCCTGGCGTTTCCTCTCCCACCCCATTGGATACAGCTAACTCCTTGGCCCTTGAGTCCATGCGGCCAGCCCAATTTGTGACTGCAAGCGTCTCGAATACCAACTCCGCACTTGGAGCATCCTTAATGGAATAAAACTGGAGTAGGCTGCTTGGATCTTCTGACGATTGTCCAAGCATGTGTTGAACGGCCTGTTCAATCATAAAAGCATTGTCACGTTGTAAAAAGCCCAAATTCGATACAGGCGCGTGACTATTTATTGATAGAAAGACAGGACCTCGTAAGTTGAGGTCAAGAGAAAAAATGATACCTGTAGCCTAGCAATGCTGTTCGAAGCAGATGCAAGCGCCCTCTTACGCCCTAGTTTCGACCCATCCATGTACTTCAATGAAGGATCTTTATCTTTGGGGCCATACGTCCCAATGAACCAGTATGCTGTATCAATTTCTTTAACAATAGCTAACCAAGTGTCACGTCGTTTCTCCCCTCCAAAATCCACAAATTCCAGTATCCACGGCTCCGAACTGTCAATGAAGATGCGGCAGTGTCAAATTAGAAAAACGAGACGAGAAAACTTGCATAAACAAATTCAAGGGACGCTTGGAACTAAATCAGAAAAACACAGAAGAAGCAGAACTATGCAAAGTGGTGATAAGACACAAGGTCATTGCTTACTCTGGCTTGGAAGCTACTGAAATAGCAGAATCGAACACTTCCGCACCGAAAGGTCCAACTCTCTTTTTGTGAACTATAGCATCTCCGCGTGTCAGGTCCAATCTGACGGGAGCTTGGTGCGAAGTTAAGCTGTTAGCCTACACAACGCAAACTTCATTTCGTACACTGAAAGACTCTGATACTAAAATCTAAACTGAATTTTTATTACTGGCAATTAATCAAGCAAGGAAATTTACGCGTCTACAGCGATAATGCTCATACAATCCAGTTCTCCTTTAGGGAAAAGAAAAGAAGAAGGGACCAGACTGAAATAAGAGGATTATTCGCACAGCCAACCAGTAATATTCATTCCCACAATCTTAAGTATTGCATGACATAGTTGATACAAGACATTGGCAAAACTGGGATGATCGAATGAAAATATCTCTCATCGACATTCCAAAGAAGCGTGCTTACTTCAAAATAAAGAGCGCGGTCAGTAAGCGTGAGTCGGCCAGGCCACACCATAGTCCCATTCCATTTCTGCACTGGTTGTCGTTTATTTTTTCCAACACTGAGGATCGTCTCACCTGGTTCAAGGCCAAGAGTTGAGGCCTCCGTCCGCTGGTAGAGCTTCCGTTCGTCGAGCACACTGTGTGTGTACATGATCGTCCATACATCAGTACGAAAATTTGGAAGGTGACAGAAATTAAACTGACAACAAATGAGGAGCAAACACGTCGATGTCTCCAGTCCTGACCAGAGATAAAATGACATCATTAATCTACTAAACCATCTTCAAGCTACAGAGATGCATTGCAAAATTGCGAGACCCTACTAGCTGAATGTTGCCAATACTCACCCGCATAACTCTTTGATATACGTGTCCCAAACTTCAAATGATAGCCCCTTCATGTTACGAGAAAGGACCCGATAAAGACGGTGTGCTGTCACTCGATCCGCGGCCCCAGGAATTGAGGAAGCTATCCTAACGAACGCTTCTTCACCAACTAAACCTCTTGGCTGGCAGCGCAGCAAGGACACAATTTATATGAACATCTTCAAGCTCTTGTCAAAAGCACGGCGCACTTCTATTAAAAAGATCTTAAGTTCGCAAAGCTTTCAAGCAACAACAGAACAAGGAAAACTGACCAAACCGAATTAACATGCTTGTTTAGAACATAAATCAGGTATAACAGCATTTCGCTAGGTACTCACAAGTTTAGAACGGTTGCTTGCGTTATTAAGAGACCGAAGATCTTCTTGGTAGGGCCGCTGCCAAGCTAACATCGCTGTGAATGTCAATCGCCGGAAGGCTGCATCCTGTTGAGCCATACGTACTCTCAATTAAAAGGTCCAAGTCAAGGTTGCCATTACCGTTCTGCCAACAGCGCCTCGCACTATAACAGAAAAGATGCCCTTCGACTTCATCAATCGGAAACTAGCTATGATCAAATTCATGTCGTTCATAGAATCGCATTCACGAAATTCAGAATGACAGACACGTAGAAGAGGCATTTCTTTCGTAAAGAACAACAAAGAGGCGCGTAAAGAACAACAAAAAGGATCAGAGAGGATGTTTACCCAGAGTGAAGGGTGAACATCAGCGCCTGACCGTACCAAATACCGAAAGACGCAAAACTCTACAAGATTCTTTGCGTCGTTCTGAACAGAAACAGATGCAGTTGCTTCAAAGTTGGACCTCATCTTCTTTCCGGTCATGCCGTTTAATCTAGAACACATAGGAACAAAACGCTGTGCTCAGATTATGACGGCCACTTGTGACAAAGAATATCTCTTTAAAAAATAAAGTGAACACTTGTTCATTTATAAAATAATCTTGCACATTATGCTACAACTCCTTATGAGTGATAAAACGACTGACTGGGCTTTACAAAGGTGGAGTGTTCATCCAGATGTCCTTCCAACAGGATGGTAAAACCAGGATGACAACACGTGATGCATCTGCGAATTATTTGTAACGTAAGTTTCAAATCATCAATTCATGCCAGTGACGAGTTATTACTATAATCTGCTTCTCGAAGCTAAAACTTACCATCCCGAGTCAACCATAATATTTACCAAATATCTTCCTAAAACTGCACGAAAAGAGGTCAGTAAGCAGGAGGCAGGAAGGCGGAGTTATCATGGAAATAAACCTGCTAAATTGTTCGATGGTGTTTATGGCAGCTGGGGATAGATATCCTCTAGCAGTTTGAGCATCTACTGTGTGTTCACTAAACAAAAGTTCCTCTTCAAAATCAGAACATTCTTTTTCCTGTGGGGCTACTGGATTTGTCTTCAAGGCTGAAATTTCTCTTTTCCACTGCTCATTTGCTTCCCAAAATCGCAATTGTTTGGGTATTTCGAGTTTAGCGGGCAGCCATAATTTAGGTTCAAAAGGACTAGATTCAGTGGATTTCCATTCTGCAAAACAATTATCTGTAAGTTTCAGCACAGAGCGGGGTTATAAAACCAACTTACACAAGGATTTCACGACCAAACGGCAGTCTGAAAAATTCGGTTAGACCGAATCGAGAACGAGCTATTTCGATTACAGTGGCAAATTAGAATTTATAATGAGGCTTGGTTGAAGAAGTTACCCGCTCGAGTAGAATGATTGAGATTGTTCATTCTGCCATTAAATTGTGAACCGCTACTAGATCTGGCCGGTTGATCCACGCCACTAAAACCAAAGCTCTGAAGTTTACAAAATTGTAACTTCCTATACCCTATTCTTAATGATTTTGACCAGCATCCACCAATCCCAATCTGTCTTTTTCCATAACAAATTCCGTTTCTAAATTGTAAGTGTATCCTGGAATTTGTAACCACTACTCTATTGCTTCTATTGCATAATGAGGTGGCTGAAGCTGCAGCATATTTCATTGAGGTCATGTTGCCTGGCGGAACTAATACGACAACCATCTCTACAGAGTTTTCCACGGCTGACTACAGGACAGTAATTCGAAGAATCCTTGAAATCCGTTGTTCTCGCCGCCGCGCTATAGTTCTCGCAATCCAAGCGAAGACTTTCCTCCGTTCAAGATCAAATATTCTGCAAGGCATGAAATATCCAAGAGATTTGAGTCTTCTCAATGAGCAGCATCGCTGAAAAACAAGACATAGAAAAAAAGAAGACTGGGAGGGATATTCTGAAGGTCGATTGGTCGTCACAAAGGTATAATTATTATCCGTGCCATTGAATGTGAACAAGCGCACAATAGAGCCAAGAGAACATTGCAGTCCGGCTGCTAATTCCTTATAAACTTCCCTTGGGCTACCCATCTCTCTTCTAATGATGCTATCAGAGCTATTCGACAACAGCCACCGTTCAATCAATTCAAGGACACAAAGTTGTAACAGGAAGCAAGACAAAAAAAGAACGGAGGATACTCAGCTTGAGCTGCAAAGACGTCTTAGGGTACTACTACTTAGCACGAGTGTTGCACCTACTCACACACTGAACAACTGAGAAGAGCTAAAGAAACAAACTCTCCCAAAAAACCAAACCACAGCCCTCCAAAAGGAAATTCGAACCAAGAGCACAAATACACTGCAATTAAACCAAATGTCAAACATGAATTCGAAATCGCTAGCTGAGTCACAGAAGTACAGAATCTACTAACCCTATTCAAAAATGGGGACCTCAGCTCAAGCACCCTCACGTCGACTCCGCCGCATCCATCCCCATTCTCCCCACCAAAGAGGATTTCGGACGAAACCCAATTCTCAATGCCCCTGATCAATCGATCGCAACCCCGCCCCAGCCCAACTGCGCACGATCCCAACACAGAGAGGCAGACCACGAGTTGAACCAGTTTTCAAACCAAGAGAGCAATTCGAAAACAGGCGGAGCTCTCCCTACGCGAAGAAGCTGCAACTACACACCACCACCTGGCTGGCAGATGGGGGCTCTACAACAATCTCAATCAATGCAGGGAAAGGAGCTGATCCTACAAAATGGAGAAGCGGCGCGATCCAGACACACCTGCACTCTCGTGCAAAAGCCCCGTGCAGGTGGCACGCAGCGTCGGTGCCAAAAGCGCCGCCGCTCTGCCGCTACCGCTGCTTTGGCATTGGCTGCCTCAGCCGCGCGGTGCCGCCGTCGCCGCCGCCGTCACGCCATCGCCTTCGTAACATTGTTTGGGTTGATTGTTTGATTTTTCCAAAAATATAATCAAAATAAAAATGGAATTCAATGATTTAAAATTAAATATTTTTAAATATTTTATTCTTTTTTCATTTATTAATTTCAATAATTTCGAATGCAAATTAGTGATTGATAATTTAAAAATAAATAATAAAATAAAATAATAAATAAAATGTAAATAGTTTATGACCTTACATCAATGAATGACCATAACAAAATCTAAAATTATGAAAATTTACTTGATGATGTTTAGTTTGACAATACATGTCTAAGTAATTTCTTAATCCTTATAAATAATTTAGAATAATTTTTCTATGTTATAACATCATAAGCTTTAAATGTTAATAGATTGTTTATTTTGTGGTTTTTGTTGTCACTATTCTAAAATATAATTATAAATTTAAATTTTTATTAAACTTTTATTCTTTTTTTAATAATAAATAATGTAATAATTACATTATCAAGTATGAATAGGTATTATGGATATATGTATATTTACCCTAATATTTACATATGTGATTAAGTAGAAGTAGATAAAAATAGATTTATTTTATAATATTTTCTAGAAAAGCTTCCTAAAAGCTTTGTAGACGCTGCTTTGACTTTATATGTATTTGTAGTTGATTGGTAGATTAGAAACTTAGTTAATAAATTAATTACATGTTGGTAGCTTGTGGAACAAGCTAACTATGTGACGTACATATAGAAAACTTATTTTGCAAGTTAAGATACGTATCTTGCAAAGTCAACACATTTTAGAGGTCTAATAGGACATCGCCATTTAGCTCTTAGTTAAGATTATATGGAAGCAAGGGTGAAGCCTTTTTTATTCTTGTCAATTCCTTTTTAGTCTTTAGTCTTATTTCAAAACTTTCTACTCTTCTTGTCCTTAAAAATAGCCATTCTAGTTTAATACTACATCATCTTTGAATAATTTTTCTAGTCTCTTTGAGTGTCACAAGAATACATTGATATTTTAGTTCTTTGAGGTTCATGTTCTTGACAATTTGGCAAGAGTGCTAATTTATTGTTCTTATCTTGTTTTTAAAATAAGTGGATTATCTCACTTCTATTCTTGTGTTTTGAAGGTTGCAAATTATCCATCTTAAAAGAAACTATTTAGTTTTCTAACATTGGTTTTTTTTCCTTAAAGAGAGCAAATTATTCCTCTTTGTGGAAATTTTCATTTGATATTAGAAGTTGAAGATTATCTCCATTGTCAAACTGTAAATGCCTATAGTATATAAAAATTAGTTAAAACATATTTTATGTTTATAAGTCTTGATGTACGTTAGAATGGTTAATAATTAATTAAAGAAAGTGGATTTAAGAAACTTTATTTTGAATTTTATCTATTTTTATTATAGTATTTAAATTATATAGGATTTAGATGTTTAGTATAGAGCTTTAAGAGAAGGTGGAAGTCTAAGGATGAAAATCTAAACTACTAGGAGGCTAATAGGCAGGGATGAAATTAAGGCATGGTCAAATGAAGGCAAAAGGTAAGGATCTTTATCCCTATTGGTCGAAGGCCATGTCCAATGGACATTCAGCAGGCTGTCCGTGCCCACAACAAGGATTTTGGCAACTTCAGAAGGAGCATTTGAAAATAAGAAGCTAGAGTTGTAAGGTTTAGAGTTTGGGCTACAATTTGGGCATAAAAATTAGTGAGTTTGGAATCAGGATGAAGAAGTTATAGCCATTTGAAGTTAAGTTATTATTTTAAGACATATTGTTGCTCTTTTGAGCATACGAGGAGTTTTACATTAGTTTTTGGAATTCGAAAGGTGCGGCTGGAACGGCAATTTCATGACTTATATCTTTTATAAAAGAATTTTTATATTTGGAATTTGGATGAAGAAGTTATAGAGAGCTGAAGTCAGTGCATCCAAATCAAAGGTAGTAAGTGAGTGATTTTGTTCATAGTAATGGTTGGAGTCATATCTTAAGATTCTAGATGAAATTTTGGCTCAAACCTTTTAGAGAAGGTAGATTAATTTGTTAAGAAGCTATATATATATATAAAATTTGTGGCATTTGAATGCTTAATTTGTGAAATATGAAGAAAATAGCATGCACGTGTATAAAAACTAGGGTTTGAAGCTACTACTAGGGTTTTGGCAATATCTTAAGATTCGCAATAAATCTGCTATTGAAATTTGTTATGGTAGTTGTTAGAAGTACATCAATACTTCATGTAAATTTTGAATATGTTTAAATAGTCCAATTGGAAGATATACATTGTTGAAGTTCAAAAATAATACTCATAAGGATATATAAGAATTTAGAGTTTTTTATTATATTTTGGATATTTTTGGGAACTTAAGACTTATATGTTTGATGTACTTGCTTTCTTATTTCAAGACTTGAGTGAGCAATAAGTGACAGCGAAGAACCCAGTGCTTTCTTGAGGCAACTCCTCTCTACCCTGACACCAACTAATTTGACTTATGGATGTGTTAAGTTGTTTGAAATGGTAGGAAAAATCATAGTTTCTATACTTAATAGAAGTGAGAATAGATTTGAAACTATTGCAGATACTTACAAACTTGTCAATACTCTTGGATTGAAAATTTCACGCATTACTAGTGCCAATCATTAAAATACTAATCCTATGCTTATAGAAGGAGTTTTGAACTTACAGTAAGAAGTTGTGTAGTTGAAGGAAGCAATTAAATCAACCTTACAACTAAATCCAAGAAGTTTTGCTTCTACAAATATAACGGGAATATGAATTTGTATGCCTAATAAATTTGATGGAATGAGATTTAAAATTCAAAATTTCTACAACAAGTTAAGGTCTATTTAAGATTGCATTCCTTCCAATATTCTAATAGATTTATTTAAGTTGGATTCATAGATGCACTTTTATCAAGAAGTATTTTTTTTTAATTTGTACCTTTAATAAAAAAAGATTTGTAACTCCTTTATAATTTGAATTCATTCCTAAAAGCATTTATAGCTACATTCAAAGAAAGTGATCAAAAAAGTCTAGCAGAAACGAAGCTCTTATCTTTATGGCAATAATCACAATTAGCCACCATATATGCCATTGAATTTCAAAATATTACTTGCAACGTGGATTAGAATGACAAAGGCCTTATCAATTAATTTTGATATAGGTTGAAAGATAATATCAAAGACTTATTATTAGCAATGCCAAAGGTAAAATCCTGTCAAGGACAAAGACTCGATGAGGAAAAATATACACCAAAAGGCTATCTCGATATAATAAGTCAAAATATAAACAAGTAGGTATATTAAAAGGAAACTGGAATGGCTATTGCCACAAGACAAGAAACTAAAGACTCTTGAACCTAGACTAGAAGCAAGAAAGGAGTTGACAAGAGTGAAGAGGGCTTCACTCTTGCCTCTATATATACTATCTAACTAGAAGCCACGTGGCGATGTTCTATAAGACCTCCAATATATGTTGACTTTCTAGGCTACATGCCTTTGCTTGCAAAGCAAGTTTTCTATGGATGGACCACGTAGTTAGCTTGTTCTTTAAGCTTCCAACATGCGTGGCACATGGCTAACTTGTTGACCAAGTTTCTAACCTAAAAGTCAACTATAGACTCCTATAAAGTCAAAGCAGCGTCTATGAAGCTTCTAAGAAGCTTCTCTAGAAGATATTACACAATTAACCTACTTTTATCTACTTTTACATACTTTTATCTATTCATATAGGTAATTATATGTATGTCCGTGACATTACCCCCCCTTCTAGGGACGAGTTCCACGAGGAGCGGTGATTATATATTGAGAAAATCTAATATGCGGCGAATTGTATTTGCTACATACTCTGATCTTTGTTCTCTTCGAAGATAGTTGATGGGTCCTCTTAGCCATCGATAGTGTCCCATTCCAGGGCGAGAAGACCACCCTGTTATTTGATCACTGTTGAGGCCTTCATAACTTCTTTCAAATAATACATTTGAAACACCATCAGGAGTCGTTCCTATCTCCAATAATATCACCAAACATCGAGAATCTCTTCCAAGGTCGTGATACCAAATGCGTTGTATCTCACCATCTATTCGAGGAAGAACATGTCGTTCTTGAGGATCTTCATCTCGGTTGCGTCGTCTTGAAGGTTGTGACAATCGCAATATCTCATCCGGTAAGTCAGCAAACGAAGGTTCTTGAGTTGAATCCACTGGTTGTTGGCTCTCCATCTAATTAGCGTCACAAATGTAAAGAAGTTACAAACAAGGATAGGAAATTGAATGTTATCTTGCCTCAATCTTGTCTCTTTTATAAGAGAGGTTTTCATCTTGGTTTTGATGGATGTCGTTGATGAAAAACTTTGACTTTAGCTGATGCATTTGCTAGATTCCTGGATGGCTCCTATGTGCGCTCACTAATATCATATCCGCACCAATGAACAAGATATTCCAGCTTATTTCGGCGCCGCCTTGAGTCTAATATCTCTTCCACCTCAAATTCTTCATTATTATCTACTTCTATAGGAGGCGGTGGCATTTGTCTTCTTCTTTGTATATCCACTGTCTTATATGGTTCAAGAAGAGACACGTGGAATACAGGATGGATCTTCATTAACTCCGGTAGATGTAACTGATATGCAACTGGGTTGATCTGTTCAGAAACAGAAAAGGGGCCAAGCCTACGATAGTCCAATTTGTCACAAGGTCGAGTGGTCTTGATATTGCGACGAAGTAGCCATACCTTATCACCCACGTTGAGTTGTGGTTGCTCTTTACGATATACATCTGTATTTATCTTTTGTCGTTCTTGAGCTTTCTTCAACTGCGCCTTCATTATTGCATGTAACTCTGACAACCGATTTGCCATATCTTCTGCTGCAGGATTATCAACTTTTGAAAAATCA